TCCCAATGGTCTGCCCTCTTCGTCTTTTTCTACAATTGTACCATCATCAGTGATATAGTTGCCAGAAGCGTCTGTTGGTAGTGGTGATCCGTCTGGTTTCGTTACCGGATAGATCACATTGCCACTCTCATCTGTTGGTAATTCTTTGCTAACAGCCTCTTCCAAGGGAACGGTGACATAGTTACCAGAAGCATCAGTAGGAAGCGGTTGTCCGTCTTCCCCAAGGGGCTTACCACTGGCATCTGTTGGGATGGGTTTTCCGTCGGGACCGGTAGGAGCACCAGATCTATCAGTGGGCAATGGCCTACCATCTTTTCCAACGACTGGGTAGATGGGACGTCGGTGCATATCGGTGGGAAGGGGACTACCGTCTGGACCCACAACAGGGTAGATGTAATTTCCTGAGTCATCTGTGGGAAGTGGTTGGCCGTCAGGTCCCAATGGTCTGCCCTCTTCGTCTTTTTCGATTATTGTACCCTCGTCAGTGATATAGTTGCCAGAAGCGTCTGTTGGTAGTGGTGATCCGTCTGGTTTCGTTACCGGATAGATCACATTGCCACTCTCATCTGTTGGTAATTCTTTGCTAACAGCCTCTTCCAAGGGAACGGTGACATAGTTACCAGAAGCATCAGTAGGAAGCGGTTGTCCGTCTTCCCCAAGGGGCTTACCACTGGCATCTGTTGGGATGGGTTTTCCGTCGGGACCGATAGGAGCACCAGATCTATCAGTGGGCAATGGCCTACCATCTTTTCCAACGACTGGGTAGATGGGACGTCGGTGCATATCGGTGGGAAGGGGACTACCGTCTGGACCCACAACAGGGTAGATGTAATTTCCTGAGTCATCTGTGGGAAGTGGTTGGCCGTCAGGTCCCAATGGTCTGCCCTCTTCGTCTTTTTCGATTATTGTACCCTCGTCAGTGATATAGTTGCCAGAAGCGTCTGTTGGTAGTGGTGATCCGTCTGGTTTCGTTACCGGATAGATCACATTGCCACTCTCATCTGTTGGTAATTCTTTGCTAACAGCCTCTTCCAAGGGAACGGTGACATAGTTACCAGAAGCATCAGTAGGAAGCGGTTGTCCGTCTTCCCCAAGGGGCTTACCACTGGCATCTGTTGGGATGGGTTTTCCGTCGGGACCGGTAGGAGCACCAGATCTATCAGTGGGCAATGGCCTACCATCTTTTCCAACGACTGGGTAGATGGGACGTCGGTGCATATCGGTGGGAAGGGGACTACCGTCTGGACCCACAACAGGGTAGATGTAATTTCCTGAGTCATCTGTGGGAAGTGGTTGGCCGTCAGGTCCCAATGGTCTGCCCTCTTCGTCTTTTTCGATTATTGTACCCTCGTCAGTGATATAGTTGCCAGAAGCGTCTGTTGGTAGTGGTGATCCGTCTGGTTTCGTTACCGGATAGATCACATTGCCACTCTCATCTGTTGGTAATTCTTTGCTAACAGCCTCTTCCAAGGGAACGGTGACATAGTTACCAGAAGCATCAGTAGGAAGCGGTTGTCCGTCTTCCCCAAGGGGCTTACCACTGGCATCTGTTGGGATGGGTTTTCCGTCGGGACCGGTAGGAGCACCAGATCTATCAGTGGGCAATGGCCTACCATCTTTTCCAACGACTGGGTAGATGGGACGTCGGTGCATATCGGTGGGAAGGGGACTACCGTCTGGACCCACAACAGGGTAGATGTAATTTCCTGAGTCATCTGTGGGAAGTGGTTGGCCGTCTGGTCCCAATGGTCTGCCCTCTTCGTCTTTTTCTACAATTGTACCATCATCAGTGATATAGTTGCCAGAAGCGTCTGTTGGTAGTGGTGATCCGTCTGGTTTCGTTACCGGATAGATCACATTGCCACTCTCATCTGTTGGTAATTCTTTGCTAACAGTCTCTTCCAAGGGAACGGTGACATAGTTACCAGAAGCATCAGTAGGAAGCGGTTGTCCGTCTTCCCCAAGGGGCTTACCACTGGCATCTGTTGGGATGGGTTTTCCGTCGGGACCGATAGGAGCACCAGATCTATCAGTGGGCAATGGCCTACCATCTTTTCCAACGACTGGATAGATGGGACGTCGGTGCATATCGGTGGGAAGGGGACTACCGTCTGGACCCACAACAGGGTAGATGTAATTTCCTGAGTCATCTGTGGGAAGTGGTTGGCCGTCAGGTCCTAGTGGTTTACCCTCTTCGTCTTTTTCGATTATTGTACCCTCGTCAGTGATATAGTTGCCAGAAGCGTCTGTTGGTAGTGGTGATCCGTCTGGTTTCGTTACCGGATAGATCACATTGCCACTCTCATCTGTTGGTAATTCTTTGCTAACAGCCTCTTCCAAGGGAACAGTGACATAGTTACCAGAAGCATCAGTAGGAAGCGGTTGTCCGTCTTCCCCAAGGGGCTTACCACTGGCATCTGTTGGGATGGGTTTTCCGTCGGGACCGATAGGAGCACCAGATCTATCAGTGGGCAATGGCCTACCATCTTTTCCAACAACTGGATAGATGGGACGTCGGTGCATATCGGTGGGAAGGGGACTACCGTCTGGACCCACAACAGGGTAGATGTAATTTCCTGAGTCATCTGTGGGAAGTGGTTGGCCGTCTGGTCCCAGTGGTCTGCCCTCTTCGTCTTTTTCAACAAATTCGCCATCTTCAGTGATATAATTTCCGGAATCATCTGTTGGTAGCGGCGAACCATCAGTCTTGGTGATTTGGTATGCTACCGGCTTTTCACCTGACACTTGCGGCCAGTGGAATGGAGGGTACTCAGCTTTTTGACAGTGCTTTTGCAAGAGGTTTGCTATGAATGTGCCATCTACTTTTTCAAGGGGTAATTGTGTTACTCTCTCGTCATCGTTTTGTTGAGGTGTTATGAAGAGATTTGCAAAGCCGTCATCGTCTTTGGGGAAGCTAAAAAAGTCAATGAAATGTTTAAAAGTCATTCGTGAGCCTGCAAACAGTAAAGCATTTTATATGTTGGTGTAATAGAGGGGAAGCCAGGTTTCTTTGTTGTTGATGTAATAAGCTAGAGAATTTAGTGCACGCTGTGAATCTCTTCATTGCGAGTAAGTAGTTACTGAAGCGATAGCAGGGAAATTTTTGATATTTGTGAGACGTATATGCAAACGAATGTTTGATATATCGAACAAGAAGCATTAAATACAACGCATGGTTAAGCGGAAGTTTGTTTAAAAGCACGAGGGCTGGAAAAGTCTGCGCAAGGCGTGTGTAACTCCGATTAACCCTTGGAATTCAACTGTTTCACTAGCACTCCACAAAAAAGCGATAAGAGAGGTTATATACAGAAGTTAGCTAGTATGCAACCGTGCCTATCATACTTCGTGAGTCGAACTCAATATGTTCAGATTGGCTATCATGTGCTTCAAGTATCCCTCATAGCCATGAACTTGATCTTGTCAAAATATTACAGACATGTTGCTGACTTGCTTATCGCGAAAAAACACATTTTGAAAATCAGGAAATCCTGCTCTCCCTGTAAGACTACTAGACCATTTTCAATTTTGTAACTGATTTGCCGAATTTTACGTCATTTCTTGCATCTTTTCAATCTTTCTTTTTTCAGTCTTTTACAGTTGTATTTGCAACGTTGAAATGGCAGTGGAAGCAAAATTTACATTTATTATTGATGAGCAAAAAACTATTCGATGGTTATGGCCACTCAGATGACATGCATATGTCTCACAAGCTATGACATTGATCTCGAATCCACCTTTGATACCTTGAAAGGATACACTTTACTTTTGTTTATTGTCCATGCCCGAAGGCCTCCGCGAAGCACACCATATCCATCAGAAGTTGTAAACACCTATCTAGGTTTTATCTACATAGGTTACAATGTGCTGTTGATTCAATATTTCTGATCAGTTGAAAAGAAGAGAATTTTCTCTTAAGTCAAGCACATAAATTAAAGTCCTTTCGGCACGCAAATAAAATGTAGAACTGCGTTGAATATCATAATTATTTTTTATTAGTGGTTTGATGACATCATTTTGAGCTATAGGGACATGCGTATTGTTGTTACTATGCCGCATTAGACTCATCATATTTTAGAGCGTGCTCGCTATAAACTGGGTATCAACAGAAAGCTTTTCAGTGCTGGGTTTTCAAAACAAAAAGCTCAGAGAAAAATTATACCTGATTCAAAAACACCGAGGAGCCATGCACTCAATGCACATAGTAAAGACTTTGCCTGTATCTGGATTTGAGACAGCAAAATTCTGTTGTTTTTGAGAATCGTGGCTAAATTTGCATGCAAATTTAGTCTCTAACAACGAAACATTACGAATGACCACGGTCACCGAGGATACCTTGTGACCGTAGCCATGTAGTGAGACACATATCGCCAGATGCGTCTTGAAGCTCTCCTTCAAATGTTGTTCGGGGGAGCGAAACAAGAATTTCAAGCGATGTTCACAGTTCTGGCTCAGTTGAAGCCACGCAGGATCTTTCGTAAACGTTCATACTGCAGACAATCCATTAGATATCGAAAGCAGATTTGAGATCAGCGCTTTAGGACGCATCTAGTGATATTTGTCTTATTACGAATGGCTGCGGTCACCAAGTATTGTTTCTTTGCAAGTGGTACTTGTGTCCTTTCCAGATATCAATAGCAGTTTGAGATCAGAAAGACATAAACATCTTATCTTGAATGGCCAAAGTCGCATTATTTCCTCCTGTGAGGAAGAAGCATCATGCATTGGCATAAGCCCATGATTTTATGATTGGCTTTATCTAATGATATGGTAAAAGGTGGATTCAATTTAAGATTTCGGCGCGGATACGCTAGAATTAAAGATCGGCATGAGAAACAAGTGAGAGACAAAAGCTGTTGTAGCTGAGAAATTTTTCTCGAAATGCTGTTTCCTTCATTAGATCTTTTAGACGGCATCAAAGAAAGAAACAGAGAGAAAAAAGAAAGAAAGGATGTCGATTCCAATATATAACCTATCCGCAAAAACAAGACAGACAAAAGAACTCACCTAGTTATATCATTTCCGAAGATTATGCTGATTTTGGCGCTGTCTGGTCGCGGGAACATGGTGAATTGCTGTTTCGTTGAACCATATAAAGGCACGCGATCGTCTGAATCGTCATAAGAGAATACGATCCGTCGGAGCTCATCCCTCATATGCTCTTTTTCCTGGTATCCACCAAGCGGAAGAGGAACAACGATGTCCTTATTGCCATACACAACTCCGATACGGGTCACGTCCGGTGATAAATCGACCCTATCAGCAAAGCTTGATATAGCTCGCAAAATGGTCTGGAACGTAGAGTTGGACAGCTTTCTCATGTCTATTGTAAAAACGATGTCCATTTTGAGATTTTTCAATGAGCACCTTTCGTCATGCGGTACAGGAAGAGCTTTACCATCAGGTCCGACTATGATACCTTCTTCTGTAATATAATTTCCAGAGGCATCGGTAGGCAACGGAGATCCGTCGGGTCTTGTCACGGGATAAATAATGTTGCCGCTCTCATCAGTGGGCAGTTCCTTTGTGACTCCTTCTTCAGCCGGTACTGTCATATAATGTCCACTGCTATCCGTAGGCAGAGGTTGTCCATCTTTGTCGATTGGTGTACCACTCGCGTCCGTTGGAATTGGTCTTCCATCTTTGCCTAGCGGGTGTCCTGTATCATCTGTCGGCAAAGGTTTCCCATCCGTACCAAGTACTGGATGGATAGGTCTTCTACTCTCGTCCGTAGGCAGCGGACTTCCATCAGGTCCCAGAACGGGGTAGATGTAATTACCAGATTGATCAGTTGGCAGCACCTGTCCGTTTGGACCAAGTGGTCTTCCCTCTTCGTCTTTCTCAATGACAAATCCATCATCGGTGATGTAATTTCCAGAAGAATCTGTGGGCAATGGTGATCCATCGGGCATCGTTATGGGGTATAAAACTTTGCCACTTTCGTCGGTGGGCAACTCCTTAACAACTGCCTCTTCACCAGGGATCATAACATAGTTTCCACTGCTATCCGTAGGCAGAGGTTGTCCATCTTTGTCAATTGGTGTACCACTTGCATCCGTTGGGATTGGTCTTCCATCTTTGCCTAATGGGCGTCCTGTCTCATCGGTCGGCAAAGGTCTGCCGTCAGCACCGAGCACTGGGTGAATGGGCTTTCTGTTCTCATCCGTCGGCAATGGACTTCCATCAGGTCCCAGAACGGGGTAGATGTAGTTACCAGTTTGATCTGTTGGCAACACTTCTCCGTCTGGACCAAGTGGTCGTCCCTCATCATCCTTCTCGATGACAGTTCCATCATCCGTGACATAATTTCCAGAAGAATCCGTGGGCAAAGGAGACCCATCAGGCTTTGTAACTGGGTAGATTACGTTACCGCTCTCATCAGTTGGCAATTCTTTCGTGACTCCTTCCTCAGCTGGCACTGTCACATAATGTCCACTGCTATCCGTAGGCAGAGGTTGTCCATCTTTGTCAATTGGTGTACCACTCGCATCCGTTGGAATTGGTCTTCCATCTTTGCCTAATGGGCGTCCTGTCTCATCGGTCGGCAAAGGTCTGCCGTCAGCACCGAGCACTGGGTGAATGGGCTTTCTGTTCTCATCCGTCGGCAATGGACTTCCATCAGGTCCCAGAACGGGGTAGATGTAATTACCAGTTTGATCTGTTGGCAACACTTCTCCGTCTGGACCAAGTGGTCGTCCCTCATCATCCTTCTCGATGACAGTTCCATCATCCGTGACATAATTTCCAGAAGAATCCGTGGGCAAAAGAGACCCATCAGGCTTTGTAACTGGGTAGATTACGTTACCGCTCTCATCAGTTGGCAATTCTTTCGTGACTCCTTCCTCAGCTGGCACTGTCACATAATGTCCACTGCTATCCGTAGGCAGAGGTTGTCCATCTTTGTCAATTGGTGTACCACTCGCATCCGTTGGAATTGGTCTTCCATCTTTGCCTAATGGGCGTCCTGTCTCATCGGTCGGCAAAGGTCTGCCGTCAGCACCGAGCACTGGGTGAATGGGCTTTCTGTTCTCATCCGTCGGCAATGGACTTCCATCAGGTCCCAGAACGGGGTAGATGTAGTTACCAGTTTGATCTGTTGGCAACACTTCTCCGTCTGGACCAAGTGGTCGTCCCTCATCATCCTTCTCGATGACAGTTCCATCATCCGTGACATAATTTCCAGAAGAATCCGTGGGCAAAGGAGACCCATCAGGCTTTGTAACTGGGTAGATTACGTTACCGCTCTCATCAGTTGGCAATTCTTTCGTGACTCCTTCCTCAGCTGGCACTGTCACATAATGTCCACTGCTATCCGTAGGCAGAGGTTGTCCATCTTTGTCAATTGGTGTACCACTCGCATCCGTTGGAATTGGTCTTCCATCTTTGCCTAATGGGCGTCCTGTCTCATCGGTCGGCAAAGGTCTGCCGTCAGCACCGAGCACTGGGTGAATGGGCTTTCTGTTCTCATCCGTCGGCAATGGACTTCCATCAGGTCCCAGAACGGGGTAGATGTAATTACCAGTTTGATCTGTTGGCAACACTTCTCCGTCTGGACCAAGTGGTCGTCCCTCATCATCCTTCTCGATGACAGTTCCATCATCCGTGACATAATTTCCAGAAGAATCCGTGGGCAAAAGAGACCCATCAGGCTTTGTAACTGGGTAGATTACGTTACCGCTCTCATCAGTTGGCAATTCTTTCGTGACTCCTTCCTCAGCTGGCACTGTCACATAATGTCCACTACTATCCGTAGGCAGAGGTTGTCCATCTTTGTCAATTGGTGTACCACTCGCATCCGTTGGAATTGGTCTTCCATCTTTGCCTAATGGGCGTCCTGTCTCATCGGTCGGCAAAGGTCTGCCGTCAGCACCGAGCACTGGGTGAATGGGCTTTCTGTTCTCATCCGTCGGCAATGGACTTCCATCAGGTCCCAGAACGGGGTAGATGTAATTACCAGTTTGATCTGTTGGCAACACTTCTCCGTCTGGACCAAGTAGTCGTCCCTCATCATCCTTCTCGATGACAGTTCCATCATCCGTGACATAATTTCCAGAAGAATCCGTGGGCAAAGGAGACCCATCAGGCTTTGTAACTGGGTAGATTACTTTACCGCTCTCATCAGTTGGCAATTCTTTCGTGACTCCTTCCTCAGCTGGCACTGTCACATAATGTCCACTACTATCCGTAGGCAGAGGTTGTCCATCTTTGTCAATTGGTGTACCACTCGCATCCGTTGGAATTGGTCTTCCATCTTTGCCTAATGGGCGTCCTGTCTCATAGGTCGGCAAAGGTCTGCCGTCAGCACCGAACACTGGATGGATGGGCTTTCTGTTCTCATCCGTCGGCAATGGACTTCCATCAGGTCCCAGAACGGGGTAGATGTAGTTACCAGTTTGATCTGTTGGCAACACTTCTCCGTCTGGACCAAGTGGTCGTCCCTCATCATCCTTCTCGATGACAGTTCCATCATCCGTGACATAATTTCCAGAAGAATCCGTGGGCAGAGGAGACCCATCAGGCTTTGTAACTGGGTAGATTACGTTACCGCTCTCATCAGTTGGCAATTCTTTCGTGACTCCTTCCTCAGCTGGCACTGTCACATAATGTCCACTGCTATCCGTAGGCAGAGGTTGTCCATCTTTGTCAATTGGTGTACCACTCGCATCCGTTGGAATTGGTCTTCCATCTTTGCCTAATGGGCGTCCTGTCTCATCGGTCGGCAAAGGTCTGCCGTCAGCACCGAACACTGGATGGATGGGCTTTCTGTTCTCATCCGTCGGCAATGGACTTCCATCAGGTCCCAGAACGGGGTAGATGTAGTTACCAGTTTGATCTGTTGGCAACACTTCTCCGTCTGGACCAAGTGGTCGTCCCTCATCATCCTTCTCGATGACAGTTCCATCATCCGTGACATAATTTCCAGAAGAATCCGTGGGCAGAGGAGACCCATCAGGCTTTGTAACTGGGTAGATTACGTTACCGCTCTCATCAGTTGGCAATTCTTTCGTGACTCCTTCCTCAGCTGGCACTGTCACATAATGTCCACTGCTATCCGTAGGCAGAGGTTGTCCATCTTTGTCAATTGGTGTACCACTCGCATCCGTTGGAATTGGTCTTCCATCTTTGCCTAATGGGCGTCCTGTCTCATCGGTCGGCAAAGGTCTGCCGTCAGCACCGAACACTGGATGGATGGGCTTTCTGTTCTCATCCGTCGGCAATGGACTTCCATCAGGTCCCAGAACGGGGTAGATGTAGTTACCAGTTTGATCTGTTGGCAACACTTCTCCGTCTGGACCAAGTGGTCGTCCCTCATCATCCTTCTCGATGACAGTTCCATCATCCGTGACATAATTTCCAGAAGAATCCGTGGGCAGAGGAGACCCATCAGGCTTTGTAACTGGGTAGATTACGTTACCGCTCTCATCAGTTGGCAATTCTTTCGTGACTCCTTCCTCAGCTGGCACTGTCACATAATGTCCACTGCTATCCGTAGGCAGAGGTTGTCCATCTTTGTCAATTGGTGTACCACTCGCATCCGTTGGAATTGGTCTTCCATCTTTGCCTAATGGGCGTCCTGCCTCATCGGTCGGCAAGGGTGTTCCATCTGTGCCGAGTACTGGATGAATAGGCCTTCTGTTTTCGTCAGTAGGCAAAGGACTTCCATCAGGTCCTAGAACAGGGTAAATGTAATTACCAGATTGGTCTGTTGGCAACACCTGTCCATCTGGGCCCAGCGGACGCCCTTCACGATCTTTTCCGATGATAGTTCCTTCGGCAGTGATGTATCTTCCAGAGACATCAGTAGGCATCAGAGATCCATCAGGCTTTGTGACTGGGTAGATCACTCTGCCACTCTCGTCAGTTGGCATTTCCTTTCTAGCCTCTTCTTCAGCTGTCACTGTCACATAATGTCCGCTGCTATCGGTAGGCAAGGGTTGTCCATCCTTATCAAGTGGTGTGCCACTTTCATCTGTTGGAACTGGTTTTCCATCTTTGCCTAAGGGGTGTCCGGTCTCATCTGTCGGCAAGGGTCTTCCATCTGTGCCGAGTACTGGATGAATAGGTCTTCTGTTTTCGTCCGTAGGTAGCGGACTTCCATCAGGTCCGAGAACAGGGTAGATGTAGTTACCAGATTGGTCTGTTGGCAAAACCTGTCCATCCGGACCAAGTGGACGCCCTTCGCGATCCCTTTCGATGATAGTTCCTTCGGCAGTGACGTATCTCCCAGAGGAATCAGTAGGTAACGGAGAGCCGTCCGGCTTCGTGACCGGATGGATGACATTACCACTCTCATCTGTTGGCATCACTTTGCTTATGGCCTTTTCTCGTGGAACACTAACAAAATTTCCACTGCTGTCGGTAGGCAAAGGTTCTCCGTTCTTGTCTATCGGATGACCACTAACATCTGTGGGAATGGGTTCCCCATCTTCTCCTAATGGACGTCCTGACACATCCGTTGGCAAGGGTTTGCCATCGGAACCAAACACTGGATGAATGGGTCGCTGATGTTCATCCGTAGGCAGAGGTCTTCCATCTGGTCCCAGTACAGGATATATGTAACTGCCAGACTCATCAGTGGGTAGCACTGTGCCATCAGGGCCAACAGGTCTACCATCCTCATCTTTGTCAATTACGGACCCGTCTTCCATCACATAGTTACCAGAAGCATCCGTGGGGAGCGGTGATCCGTCTGCTTTCCTGATGGGATATATGACACTTCCGCTTTCGTCAGTTGGAAGCTCCTGGCTTGGTGTTTCCTCGCCTTCCTCAGAAATGATGTATTTACCGCTGGCATCAGTTGGCAGAGGCTCCCCTTCCTCGTCTAACGGCACACCTTTGGAATCTGTTGGGATAGGTTTGCCATCCTCTCCCACTGGATGTCCAGTTTCGTCTGTTGGCAGAGGACTACCATCGGGACCAAATACCGGATGAATAGGCCTTCTGTGCTCGTCAGTTGGCAATGGCTTCCCATCAGGTCCAATAACAGGATAGATGTAATTTCCAGACGAGTCAGTTGGCAACAGTTGTCCGTCAGGACCAAGCGGTCGTCCTTCTTCGTCCTTCTCAATAATTTTTCCGTCATCGGTGATGTAATTTCCAGATGAATCAGTGGGCAGTGGTGATCCGTCTGGTTTGGTCACCGGTTGTGAGGGTCGCGCTGAAACATTATTTTGAGTTATACGACATGGTTTTCGATCAAAATTCAGTGACCCAGCGCAGCTAAAATGCAGAAAAATTTTCCTTGTGTTGAGTGAACATGCTGAGAGTTTTGCCCTGACTGGTTGAATCGAGCAAAACTGGACGTCAAAGGCTCAGTTGACATATCCCAGCCTTTCTCGTCGCATTCAGCATTGTACATCACCTTCTCTGCTACTCATTTCTGCAATGACAGCAATGTCATGCTTGCAGGCATGCCCGCGAGTGGGTCATACTGATCTATTTGCTCATTCCCCATTTTTGCAAACACGTTTAACTGGATGGAGTAAAAGCTCCCTCCGCACCTTCTCACTGTTAGACAAGTGCTACCGCGAAGAGTACAGCACCAGTGGCATACCGAGGGGATGGAAGGGGGAGGCGCGGAGAATGGGTAGCGAAGTATTTGAAAGTTACTAAATCTTCTTATATATAATCTGAATGTCTGTCTGTATGTCTGTCTGTCTGTCTGTACGTATGTGCGGAATAGAAATTTTTATTTCTGAACCGATTTGGACCAAACTTGGCACACATATACTTCGGGGCAGGGAGCGTGTCATAGGCTACTTTTCGTTATCGATCGATATCGATTTTATCGATTTTTTGTAAAATTTGAGCTACAGGGCTGGGAGTTGGCACAGGGGGGTAATCGAGCATGCTGATTACAATATATTATTGACAAGCCCGGGCGGAGCCGGGTTTGCCAACTAGTAGGTTATAAATATGTGCAAGTGACTTTTTGTGACAATTTTTTGAGTTTTTAATCGAGAGTGCAGAAAACGGTCAGTTCTGTATGTATAAGCAATCAAAAGTGAGAGCTTTCGTGAATGTATTCATTCATCCTCACATTTTAGCACTCAGCCCCGCGCTTGAATTTGCAAAAACGATAGAATTGATGGGGCAGTATTTTATCTGTAATTAGAATCCTCACTTACCCCCCCCCCCCCTTCCCACCCTTCCGCGCCAGTTCAAAGCTTGCAAAATGATGAATTGACAATGTTTGATTTGGATCGCTTTAGAAATGGAATTTTACTCGAAACATACACATATGGAGACAAACATTGAAGCACATAGACAAACAGACGGACAACCAGACTGAGTTTCATATGTAAAATTTGCTTGAGTTCCTCACGCAGATAATGTCTAAACTCATGGCAGGATACGGCGGTCAGATTTCGTTTTTGGATCGGAAACGTAATGACGTCACACACAAACTGAGCATCGGATTGTTCAGAGGCATTCGGGCAAGTTTCTTACGCAGCGAGGCTCACTATCGCGCATGATGTGCTCGGTCAGCGAGTTGAACTTTCGAAACAAACTGTCTCCAAAAGCATATTCGAGAAAAAATGAAAGTAATTTCTTTTACACTGATGGGGAAACTAACTTGGCTTGGTCCTTTGGCAGGGGACATGTATGTATATGTAAAATCAGCTTCAATCGTGATTCCAAACATGCCATTTCTAGCTGCCGCGCACCATTCCGAAGCGAGTTATGGGCTTTTTCCTGCGCAAAGATGGCATACTACTTAACATGGAAAGACAGACTGCATGTAAAAATCTGCAAAAAAGGTGCTGAGATACCTAGATAACGCAACTCCAATCTTTTCTCAATAAAAGGAAGCTCAAGGCAAGTGTTTTAGCACTTAGATGATGATGCTGTAATGCCAGTGAGTCGATGAGTATGCCAACTTTGCGCAGGAAAAAACCCATAACTCGTTTCGGGATGGTGCGCTGCAACTGGGAACAGCAAATTTGGCATCAGCGTTTAAAGTTGATTCAAAATGTATATGTTGCCAAAAGGAGCTAAGCTAGGTAGCTTCCCTTGCAAGTAACAACCACACTGCTAAAAATTCAGACTCTCGAGCAGTCTCTGTCGCTTCTGTCGACTGTACCGAGAAATTATCTCGCCCTGCGGTGCGCACACGGCATATTTTTCCCATCTGATTGCTGACAATTAGAATGCGCCATGCACAGTTACGTTCTTCCGTTGAAATAACGTCAATGCCGACCAATTATTTTAGCCTACACTTCCAATCCCCGAGGTGAAAAGGTAGTGCTATATCATGTGTGACACGAGCACGGTAAATACATTATTAACGTGAAATCACAAACCCGTCGTAAACATGGCATGGAGTGGTTAATTGTGACAGTGAGCTATATTGCGTGCATTTTTTATAGGGCTGCGCCTGATTCTGTAGGCTGGTAAAAGCTCTTCCATGACAAAGGCGTTAAGTTCCATGTGCGACGTGGCTGCGACCATCTTGTTTGAGCATCTCTTATCATCGCGCAAGCCTCGCGCGCATGGTCGGTCGCCGCTGTCTTGGATTAGCTTATTGCTTACTAGCTGGCTTATCCGGCTCCGTCCGGCCCTGTCAAAACGCTATGATAAACCCCCATCCCTATCCCTGTACAACCTTTCCCTGTGCCCACTTCTACATACCAACTCCAACTCCTTATTCCCGCTGTGTAGGTTATCAGCATGCTCACTTATCCATGTGGGAATTCCCAGCCCCGTAGCTGTTTACAAAAAAAAGTCGATAAAATCGAAAAAAGTAACGAATAATTCCAAAAACTAATATCATATTCGTAATCAGCATGCTCGGTTGCCCTCCTGTGCCAACTCCCAGCCCCGTAGCCCAAACTTTGCAAAGAAATCGATAAAATCGATGAAACTAATGGACGATTTTAAAAACTAAAATTGTGGTCGTAATCAGCATGTTCGGTTACCCCCCCCCCCCTCCCCTCCTGTGCCAACTCCCAGCCATAGGTCAAAGCTCGCGAAAAATCGATAAAATCGATATCGATCGAAGACGAAAAGTTAGCCCATGACACTCGCCCTGCCCCGAAGTGTATGCTTGCCAAGTGGTCCGGATCGATTCAGAAATAAAATTTTCTATTAACATACGTACACACAGACAGACAGACACACAGACATACAAACAGACATTCAGCCTTTTATATAAGAACTAGCTGGCTTACCCGGCTCCGCCGTATGTTCCGAATAGAAAATTCCATTTCTTAACTGATCCGGACCAAACTTGGCACACATACACATCGGGCCCCGGCGGGTGTCATAGGCCACTTTTCGTTATCGATCGATGTCGATTTTATCGATTTTTTGCAAAATTTGAGCTACGGGGCTGGGAGTTGGCAGAGGGGTGTAATCGAGCATGCTGATTACGAATACAATATTAGTTTTCGAAACCGTGCATTACTTTTATCGATTTTATCGATTTTTTGCAAAATTTGAGCTAGAGGGCTGGAATTTGACAGAGGGGTGTAATCGAGCATGCTGATCATCCCCACGGGGATGATCAGCATGCGCGATTACCTCCCTGTGCCAAATCCCAGCCCCGTAGCTCGAACTTTGCAAAAAAATCGATAAAATCGATAAAAGTAATGCACGGTTTCGAAAACTAATATTGTATTCGGAATCCCCATGCTCACTTACCCCCCTGTGCCAACTCCCAGCCCCGTAGCTCAAATTTTGCAAAAAATCGATAAAGTCGATATCGATCGATACGAAAAGTAGCCTATGACACCCGCCGGGGCCCGAAGTGTATGTGTGCCAAGTTTGGTCCGGATCGGTTGAGAAATGGAATTTTCTATTCGGAACATACGGCGGAGCCGGGTAAGCCAGCTAGTATGCCCATAATTTGGCTCCGCTGATGAGCAAACGCGCTTGCTTTCTGTCTACCACTCAATACCCACAGCGAAATGTATTTACCAGTCAGTCAGCAATTTTTTTCATATTTTTTGGTTGTTACCGACAAATCGTTGTTTGCGGTGAAGATATTCAGTATAGTAACAGTTTGAATAAAGAGAATTGTAACACTTTTCCAAGCATTTTCGAAACGAATTCCTCATACTTGCAATGAAAAATCAATTTGGAAAAGCCTACTAGGAATAAAAAACTGAAATAGATTGAAAAAGAGCTTGAGAACTAATTTATAATGAAAAATGATTCTGAAAGCTGATTTTAAATTCAATTCGAATTTCGAAATCCACTGTGTATCCAGATTGCAACCAACTGAAGAAGCACGAAGAAATATCAGAGAGTTTTCCAATAGCTGCAACGCATTCCTAGGTTAATTAACAAGGGGACGGAGCGATCAGGACGGCGGAGCGATCAGCAACTCAAGCGATCTGGACTACCCAAAAAATTGACCTCTGCGCGTAACTGCCTGGAAATTTTTACATTTTTGGCTAACTAAATTCTCAAACAGCTGGTCACACTTGTCCAACAACCAAATCACTAATCTGTGCACTTACTACAGCTTAAAAACGGAATGTAAAGTGTTAGATTCTTCAAGAGTTTGTTTATATGAGGTTGCACGACAGAGAATTCTATTTTCAGTATACGGTAGTAGAGGTTTGAAGCTACCCAATCACAAAATCATAGCTAAACAACACTTGCTTGAATTGTTCTAGAGTTTCTACAGGCCAAAACGTTATTTATTAGCCAACCTAATATTACCATTTCAGGACATGTCACAAAACTTGTTCAGAAGCTTTACAGAGGGTGATGACAAGAAGGATGACCCATTCTAGGATGTTGGTGCCGTCCGTTATGGCAATAACGTAAGATATTAAGTTCTTGTATTTTTGCCAATACTTGCATTATAGAGTCGTTTCAAGTTTGACTACAAAATGACATTCCTTTGGTTTGTTCGGTTTACAGTGAAACTACGGCTCTTAAATGCAATATCTGCAAATTCAAAGTAGTTTCCAAGCTTTCTTGGGAGGAAACCAGCAACATCAGAAAATTAAAAAAAAACGATTTCGCTTCCATACGGTACACTCACGGATTTTGTTGTACAGTATACCAACAACGGACCGTTCTAATGGATACTCTTCTAAGGATGTCCAGACATGTGTCACGTTTGATAAAGCTTCATGAATATAGAAGTTGGGGCTAAGTTAATACCACGGGGAACGGAACTTACCTACCCGAGATATTCTCGCACCTCATGGGTGTGTGTCTGCGCGGTATAATTAGGCATAGTGGGGGGACGGAACTTAGGAACCCGAACCTAATGGGGGACGGAACTTAGGAACCCGAGCCTAATTAGCTCGATTCGGGGAGTGCCTGCAGGTTACAGTCATGCTCGCTGGCTGTTTGTGTGCAGAAATCTGGGCAAAAGACTAAAATATCAAGAAATGAAAATCAAGAACTTCTCAGAAATAATAGTTTTTTTTTGAGTGCTGAATTTCGAGCAAAACACATCAAGAAATGCCACTCAGTAGTTAAAATTACCACAGTTGCCTGAAAATAAAGATTTACAAATTTTTCGAGCTGTGCTCATCAAAAAATAATGTTGTTATGCTCGATTAAGTGTTGAGGTCATTGCTTCCAGCATATTAGCAGGATCGCACATCAGAATCGTCTGTCGTTGACAGACACAGCAGTATCATTAGTGAAGTTCTTGATTTTTCATTTCTTGATATTCTAGTCTTTTGCAGATTTCCGCACAAACAAACTTTTATTTTTGAAAATTTTATAAACTGTCGTCTCGCAATTGATTTTCTAGTCTTTCGCCTAAATTTCAGCATTTCAGCAAATAACTTTCAATCTTGAGAAGTTTTTAAACTGTCATTTCTCTAATGTTATTCTAGTTTTTTGCTCGGATTTAGCACTCAAATAATTTTTTTTTGAAAAACTTGACGGTTTTTTGAGTAATTTCTCAGTAATTTAACACTTGAATAAAGTTTTGAACCAAGAAAATGTTGTATTCAATCAGTTCAATTCAGTAGCTGCTTTATGATGATGGCACGCTTTTTCTCTTTCGTTTGAGCCTAATTTCACCTTCGTACGATGACTTTGAACATTTTTGGCTTAGAGCCAGCCCTGAAATTCAATTGAGATTTTCAGCATCCTTGGCTAGGTTCCAGACAGGCTCTCAATGGGGCGGGGCTTAGATTGTTGCTATGTCCTAGTGAGTAATCGGAGCCAGCGAGCATGACTGTAACCTGCGGGCACTCCCCGAATCGAGCTAATTAGGCTCGGGTTCCTAAGTTCCGTCCCCCATTGGGTTCGGGTTCCTAAGTTACCGCACCCGGCATAGTGAGCTCGCTGATTCCAGATGCTCCTTAGGATACAACGCTAAGCTAAGCGCCGCCCACACATTGCATCTTTTTGGCATAGAACCAAGACATGTCAGAAAACCGGATGAGGGAACTTAGGAACCCGAGCCTAATTGGCTCGGTTCGGGGAGTGCCTGCAGGTTACAGTCATGCTCGCTGACTCTGATTACTCACTAGGACATAGCAACAATTTGAGCCCCGCCCCCGTGAGAGCCTGTTTGGAACCTAGCCAAGGAATGCTGAAAATCTCAATTGAATTTCAGGGCTGGCTCTAAGCCAAAAACGTCAAAGTGATCGTAGGAAGGTGAAATTAGGCTCAAACGAAAGAGAAAAACTGTGCCATCATCATAAAGTATCTACTCGTTCAAACTGATTGAACACAACATTTTCTTGGTTCAAAACATTATTTAAGTGTTAAGACTAGAATAACATAAGAGAAATGACAGTTCAAAAACTTCCCAAGAGTTATTTAAATGCTGAAATCTAGGCGAAAGACTAGAAAATCAATCGCGAAACGACAGTTTATGAAATTCTCAAAAAAAAATTGTTTGTGTGCGGAAGTCTGGGCAAAAGACTAGAATATCAAGAAATGACAGCAAAAACTTCACTAATGATATTGCTGAGTCTATCAACGACAGACGATTCTGATGTGCGAAGAACATCCTGCTAATATGCTGGAAGCAGTGACCTCAACCTACGCAAGGAAAGGTTGCAATAACAGTTTGAGGCAAAATTTTCCTTATAGATAGTAGCATAAAGGGTGAAAACCATTTATCGTTACTAACGATATCTCAACATTCCATGTCTTACGACAATTATTTATATTCCCACATGCACATCTGCTGCAACAATTTTATTCATCGGCAGACCCCAATTCTGTTCCTGTTTTAAATTGGGAGCCTCAGGTGATTTTGATAAGTCTAGTGTTTTGATAAGTCTAGTCTATTTTGTGTTTTGATAAGTCTAGTCTTTTGCCTAGACTTCCGCACACTAACAAGCTTTTATTTTTGCGAATTTTATAAACTGTCGTTTCGCAATTGATTTGCTAATCTTTAGCCTAAACTTCAGCATTTAAATGACTATCAATCTTGAGAAGTTTTTGAACCGTCATTTCTCGAATGATATTCTAGTCTTTTACCCGGATTTAGCACTCAAATAAATTTTTTTCTGAACTTGACGGTTTTTTGAATAATATCTCAGTAATTCAACACTTAAATAAAGCTTTGAGCTAAGAGAATGTTGTGTTCAATCAGTTTGAATCAGTAGATACTTTATGATGATGGCACGGTTTTCCTCTCTCGTTTGAGCCTAATCTCACCTTCGTACGATCACTTTGAAGGTTTTTGGCTTAGAGCCAGCCCTGAACTTCAATTGAGATTTTCAGCATTCCCTGGCTAGGTTCCAAACAGGCTCTCAGGGGGGCGGGGCTTAGATTGTTGCTATGTCCTAGTGAGTAATCGCAGACAGCCAGCATGACCGTAACCTGCAGGCACTCCCCGAATCGAGCTAATTAGGCTCGGGTTCCTAACTTCCGTCCCCCCAGAAAACCTGGCAATACCTGAGGACGGGTGTATGTCAAGAGGTGCGATTTTTATTGGCAAGTGGACACCGAATAGCACATAATAAGTGTTTTGCAACTTTCTAAAAGTATATAAAATTTAAAAGAAGATATATTGGACAGTTACATGAGTTGTTTAATTTTGATACTCTATAAAAAATTCAAAACAGCAATTTTGAAGGTTGAAAACTCATGAAAATGCATTTCAGAACAGATTCGTAAGTATTTCAGTCCGAAAAAACCATGAAACTCAGCAGGTGGTGACCTCAGACAGACAGTAGGCTAATGCACTTTATCTGGTAATTTTTGAAGACTCGCATGGCACTAAACTGGAGTTTCCGTCTCCTCCCCCTGATGACATCGGGGCTGGCTCAGCGCCAGATGTGCTAAAAGAGGGCTGCGAGGCTCAAAATGGAGCTAATCGTAAGAAAAAAAGATGGTTGTCATCAGGAGGATAAAGCAAATCTGAATGTAAAAGTGCCGAATTAGAAATTCTCGATTTTATGCAAAAAATTTTAAACACAAAATTGAAATTATTTGACTGGTAAAAAAATTGTTATAGATTACAAGAATCAGGTAAATCCAAAATGCTGAACTTCACTCTCTGAGTATGATATAAATGCAGCAAAATATCTCTATTTCGCCAAAAAGATCATAAAGCCAGAGTGGACTCAGTCAAACATGAAATTTCTGCTACAGTATGTGAGATTAGGCAATTTCAATCCAAATATATAGATAGATAAAATATTCAAATTACAAAAACATGTGCAGCGTCCTGTACACCTTGATCGTTACGTAGACTGCGAGATGCACTAATCTTTTGGTCAATGGCCGCAGCATTACAAAGTTTCAAAGAACTCAGCGATTTTATGCTGTATAGTATCAGAAAAGCATGCTTTTCTGTGGAACAACTCAGCTTGTCGCAAAGTGGCACGAAGCCAAAAAAAAAAACACTGCCAATAATCAACGTTTTCAAAACATTGCCTAACTCACCAATGTCTCTCAAGCACACGAATTTTTGGAGCGCCTCAGGGTCCTGTTTTGACCACATCTCTTCGTTAAGATGCACCAACTTTACGTTCTTGCTTCGCATACCCTCCGCTAGCGAGCTGTCTCTCAAACTGTAAATAAAGACATCTTTTATCGCACAGATGAAACAGCACTAAAATCTTACCTCAACGGAGTCACGTGCAAATGAAGGACCACCGTAGTTCCTCTTTCTTCTTCAAGAAGATGCTGTAACGCAATCTTTAAAGCAAGATTGGCGTCTGGAGACCCTCCGATTTCTCTGATTTCGTCGAAGGAGTTGATGAGTTCTTCCTTGTCAGCATAGTGTCCTATGTCTATCGTGACCTCGGTCGTAGCAGCATAGATTATCTTGCCAATCTTTGGCATGCTACTATCTGGTATTGAGCTTACAAAAGCCTTGAGCATTTTTTTGATTGGCTCCAGATACGAGGAGCTTTTATGGGAACTTTCAACGATAAAGAGCAGTGTCTCTGTTCTCGGCTCGCCAGCAGCGCATTGTTTGGATTTAAGGAGCAACTCAGCATCCGTGCCCTCTGGGAGTGGAAACCCAAACTCATCAGTTGGCAGTGGCTTCCCATCACGACCTAGCGCAGGATAGATGTAACTTCCGGAGCTATCTGTTGGTAACACCTGCCCTTCAGGCCCTAGGGGTCTTCCTTGCTCGTCTTTCGCAACAATACTTCCTCTTTCAGTGACATAATTTCCAGAAGAATCTGTTGGTAAAGGTGATCCATCAGGTCCTATAACAGGGTAAATGACGTTACCACTTTCATCGGTAGGCAATCCCTCAGCTTCTTCCCTTGCAACCGTATAATGTCCACTGCTATCTGTAGGCAAGGGTTGTCCATCCTTATCAAGTGGTGTCCCGCTTGCATCTGTTGGGATTGGTCTTCCATCTTTGCCTAATGGGTGTCCCGTCTCATCTGTCGGCAAAGGTCTGCCGTCAGCACCAAGCACTGGATGGATGGGCTTTCTGTTCTCATCCGTCGGCAATGGACTTCCATCAGGTCCCAGAACGGGGTAGATGTAGTTACCAGTTTGATCTGTTGGCAACACTTCTCCGTCTGGACCAAGTGGTCGTCCCTCATCATCCTTCTCGATGACAGTTCCATCATCCGTGACATAATTTCCGGAAGAATCCGTGGGCAAAGGAGACCCATCAGGCTTTGTAACTGGGTAAATTACGTTACCGCTCTCATCAGTTGGCAATTCCTTCCTGACTCCTTCCTCAGCTGGCACCGTCACATAATGTCCACTGCTATCTGTAGGCAAGGGTTGTCCATCCTTATCAAGTGGTGTCCCGCTTGCATCTGTTGGGATTGGTCTTCCATCTTTGCCTAATGGGTGTCCCGTCTCATCTGTCGGCAAAGGTCTGCCGTCAGCACCAAGCACTGGGTGAATGGGCTTTCTGTTCTCATCCGTCGGCAATGGACTTCCATCAGGTCCCAGAACGGGGTAGATGTAGTTACCAGTTTGATCTGTTGGCAACACTTCTCCGTCTGGACCAAGTGGTCGTCCCTCATCATCCTTCTCGATGACAGTTCCATCATCCGTGACATAATTTCCGGAAGAATCCGTGGGCAAAGGAGACCCATCAGGCTTTGTAACTGGGTAAATTACGTTACCGCTCTCATCAGTTGGCAATTCCTTCCTGACTCCTTCCTCAGCTGGCACCGTCACATAATGTCCACTGCTATCTGTAGGCAAGGGTTGTCCATCCTTATCAAGTGGTGTCCCGCTTGCATCTGTTGGGATTGGTCTTCCATCTTTGCCTAATGGGTGTCCCGTCTCATCTGTCGGCAAAGGTCTGCCGTCAGCACCAAGCACTGGGTGAATGGGCTTTCTGTTCTCATCCGTCGGCAATGGACTTCCATCAGGTCCCAGAACGGGGTAGATGTAGTTACCAGTTTGATCTGTTGGCAACACTTCTCCGTCTGGACCAAGTGGTCGTCCCTCATCATCCTTCTCGATGACAGTTCCATCATCCGTGACATAATTTCCAGAAGAATCCGTGGGCAAAGGAGACCCATCAGGCTTTGTAACTGGGTAGATTACGTTACCGCTCTCATCAGTTGGCAATTCTTTCGTGACTCCTTCCTCAGCTGGCACTGTCACATAATGTCCACTACTATCCGTAGGCAGAGGTTGTCCATCTTTGTCAATTGGTGTACCACTCGCATCCGTTGGAATTGGTCTTCCATCTTTGCCTAATGGGCGTCCTGTCTCATCGGTCGGCAAAGGTCTGCCGTCAGCACCGAGCACTGGGTGAATGGGCTTTCTGTTCTCATCCGTCGGCAATGGACTTCCATCAGGTCCCAGAACGGGGTAGATGTAGTTACCAGTTTGATCTGTTGGCAACACTTCTCCGTCTGGACCAAGTGGTCGTCCCTCATCATCCTTCTCGATGACAGTTCCATCATCCGTGACATAATTTCCGGAAGAATCCGTGGGCAAAGGAGACCCATCAGGCTTTGTAACTGGGTAAATTACGTTACCGCTCTCATCAGTTGGCAATTCCTTCCTGACTCCTTCCTCAGCTGGCACCGTCACATAATGTCCACTGCTATCTGTAGGCAAGGGTTGTCCATCCTTATCAAGTGGTGTCCCGCTTGCATCTGTTGGGATTGGTCTTCCATCTTTGCCTAATGGGTGTCCCGTCTCATCTGTCGGCAAAGGTCTGCCGTCAGCACCAAGCACTGGGTGAATGGGCTTTCTGTTCTCATCCGTCGGCAATGGACTTCCATCAGGTCCCAGAACGGGGTAGATGTAGTTACCAGTTTGATCTGTTGGCAACACTTCTCCGTCTGGACCAAGTGGTCGTCCCTCATCATCCTTCTCGATGACAGTTCCATCATCCGTGACATAATTTCCAGAAGAATCCGTGGGCAAAGGAGACCCATCAGGCTTTGTAACTGGGTAGATTACGTTACCGCTCTCATCAGTTGGCAATTCTTTCGTGACTCCTTCCTCAGCTGGCACTGTCACATAATGTCCACTACTATCCGTAGGTAGAGGTTGTCCATCTTTGTCAATTGGTGTACCACTCGCATCCGTTGGAATTGGTCTTCCATCTTTGCCTAATGGGCGTCCTGTCTCATCGGTCGGCAAAGGTCTGCCGTCAGCACCGAGCACTGGATGGATGGGCTTTCTGTTCTCATCCGTCGGCAATGGACTTCCATCAGGTCCCAGAACGGGGTAGATGTAGTTACCAGTTTGATCTGTTGGCAACACTTCTCCGTCTGGACCAAGTGGTCGTCCCTCATCATCCTTCTCGATGACAGTTCCATCATCCGTGACATAATTTCCAGAAGAATCCGTGGGCAAAGGAGACCCATCAGGCTTTGTAACTGGGTAGATTACGTTACCGCTCTCATCAGTTGGCAATTCTTTCGTGACTCCTTCCTCAGCTGGCACTGTCACATAATGTCCACTGCTATCCGTAGGCAGAGGTTGTCCATCTTTGTCAATTGGTGTACCACTCGCATCCGTTGGAATTGGTCTTCCATCTTTGCCTAATGGGCGTCCCGTCTCATCTGTCGGCAAAGGTCTGCCGTCAGCACCAAGTACTGGGTGAATAGGTCTCTTGTTCTCGTCAGTAGGCAGTGGACTTCCATCAGGTCCCAAAACAGGGTAGATGTAGTTACCAGATTGGTCTGTTGGCAAAACCTGTCCATCCGGACCAAGTGGACGCCCTTCGCGATCCCTTTCGATGATAGTTCCTTCGGCAGTGACGTATCTCCCAGAGGAATCAGTAGGTAACGGAGAGCCGTCCGGCTTCGTGACCGGATGGATGACATTACCACTCTCATCTGTTGGCATCACTTTGCTTATGGCCTTTTCTCGTGGAACACTAACAAAATTTCCACTGCTGTCGGTAGGCAAAGGTTCTCCGTTCTTGTCTATCGGATGACCACTAACATCTGTGGGAACGGGTTCCCCATTTTCTCCTAATGGACGTCCTGACACATCCGTTGGCAAGGGTTTGCCATCGGAACCAAACACTGGATGAATGGGTCGCTGATGTTCATCCGTAGGCAGAGGTCTTCCATCTGGTCCCAGTACAGGATATATATAATTTCCAGCGTCGTCAGTGGGTAGCACAACTCCGTCAGGTCCAACGGGTCTTCCCTCTTCATCCTTCTCAATAACCGAGCCGTCATCCATCAAATAGTTACCAGATGCATCAGTCGGTAAGGGCGATCCATCTGCTTTTTTGATAGGATAAATGACATTTCCACTTTCATCCGTTGGAAGCTCTTTGCTTGGTGACACCCCGATTTCTGCAGCAACATAATTTCCGCTATCATCAGTAGGTAGTGGTTGTCCATCAGTATCCAGCGGAACGCCGCTAGCATCCGTGGGTAATGGTTTTCCATCTTTCCCTAGTGGACGCCCTGATTGATCTGTTGGTAAGGGAGTGCCATCGGATCCAAGCACTGGATGGATAGGTCTCCTGTTTTCATCAGTGGGCAGAGGGCTTCCATCGGGTCCAAGAACAGGGTAGATATAGTTTCCAGAATCATCCGTTGGTAATACCTGCCCATCTGGACCAAGCGGTCGCCCGTCTTTGTCTTTCTCTATTTTAGTCCCTTTTTCAGTGACATAATTTCCGCTGGAATCGGTGGGCAATGGAGATCCATCAGGTCTTGTCACCGGATAAATAATGCTACCACTCTCGTCAGTTGGCATAGCCTGGCTGACTGCTTTCTCACGTGGAACAGCAACAAAGTTCCCGCTACTGTCGGTAGGCAATGGCTGCCCATTCTCATCCACCGGAACACCGCTTGCATCTGTGGGAATGGGTTGCCCATCTTTCCCTAACGGATGACCTGTGTCGTCTGTGGGCAAAGGTTTGCCATCGGATCCAATCACTGGGTGGATGGGTCGCTGGTTCTCGTCCGTTGGCAAAGGTTGTCCATCGGGTCCAAGTACGGGATAGATGTAATTTCCAGCATCGTCGGTAGGCAGAACCCGACCGTCAGGACCCACTGGCCTACCTTCTTCATCCTTCTCTATAACTGATCCATCTTCCGTTACGTAGCTCCCGGAAGCATCAGTTGGTAGGGGAGATCCATCTGCTTTCCTGATAGGATAGATCACATTACCGGTTTCGTCAGTCGGAAATTCTTTGCTTGGTGTCACCTCCGTCTCGGTAATAACAAAATTTCCGCTTTCGTCAGTTGGGAGAGGTTCTCCGTCGTCGCCTAATGGAACTCCTCTGGCATCAGTCGGAATAGGCTCTCCACTTTTTCGTAATGGAAGACCTGATTCATCCGTTGGTAAGAGCTCTCCATCAGCACCTTTTACTGGATGAATAGGACGTTGATGCCTATCAGTGGGCAAAGGTTTACCATCTGGTCCAAATAGTGGGTATATGTAATTGCCTGAATCATCGGTGGGTAGCACTTCCCCATCAGGGCCAAGAGGTCTTCCTTCTTCATCTTTTTCGATAACCGTTCCATCCTCAGTTACAAAGTTACCAGAAGCATCGGTTGGCAATGATGAGCCATCAGGGCGTTTTATTGGAACTATCACATGTCCACTTTCATCTGTGGGCAGTCCTTCAATAACACCATATTGAGTTGGTGCAGTTTCATCCGTTGGCTTTGTCACTGGGAGAACGTAATCGCCTTTTTTATTTTTCTTGAGTGGCTCTCCACGCTCATCTATTGGTACACCTTCTGCATTTGTAGGAATGATGGAACCTTGCGAGTCAACATAGCGCCCTTCTTGATCCATCCTCACAGGCTCGCCATCAACTATAAGTAGTGGAATCTTTGCTGCACCCTCGTCGACTGCTCCTTCGCCGGGCTCGACTACAAAGTAGCCTTCTTCATTTATAGGGTAAGGTTGTCCCTCGCTATCCAACGGTCTTCCAATGGAGTCGGTGCTAATGACAGTACCAGTAGAATCAAGTGGACGGCCTCTGTCATCTAGTGGTATAGCGTTCCCATTGGCATCAACCATCTTAATAATGGGCATGTTATTATTATCCACTGGAAGTGGCCTTCCACCTTTATCAACCAGTGGGTATATCCACACTCCTTCTTTGTTTTTGGGAAGTTCTCTACCATATGGGTCGCGAGGAATCCCATCGTCATCAACGGTTATTGGATTTTCGTTGTTGTCTAGCAGTTCACCCTCAGAATTCATCTTGAGCGGGACACCATCGGGGCCCACAACGTGCGGCACTTCACGTCCGCTCGAATCTGTCGGCCTTGATGTAGACTCCACTTCTTCATATTCAAGGATTCTTCCATCTGGACCAGTGGGCAAGGGAGATGAGTCGAAACCGACGTATCTGCCTGACGCATCGGTGGGGGCAACTTTGGCTTCTTCCTCACCAGCAGTGGAAGGTGTGCTGCTTAGAATCTCTACTGGTTGCACTTCCGTTGTCAAGGACGGGGGAGTCACCTGAAATATACTTGTGATCTTTACACTCAAGACTACCGCGTACGAACCCTAACGATGGTATACGTTGTTGGAGTGTCTGTCGAAGGTTCACACGACTTTTGGTCTTCGCCCAGCACAAAGCCGCTATGGCAATAGCATTTCGAAGCAATCGTACCATCCTCCTTTTCCTCAAATGTGCACGCATGAGCGCAGTCACATGTTACTCCTAAAAGTAAACTTATTCAACGACGAGTTCTTTACAAAAAGCAACTGTAATCTGTAGTCTGCGAATATTGCATCGGGCAAGACGCCAAATGGTGCGGCAAGACCGCTTGAGGTATGCCCGAGGCCCAAAACCACTCTAAAGGCTGCTGCTTGACGAAGGCGCAGAAGCAGTATTAGTTGAGCGGGCGCGAACACTGCGCGCGCTTATCTTCAACGTCGTAAATCCTGCGTCTCATGCGCTTTGCGGCCAATACCGCGCTCGCGCTCAAAAATATTGCGCCTCCGTCATGCGGCAGCCTATAGCTAAGCGAAAGGCGGCTCAAACAAGTGACGCTAAGCCTTCCGTCAGTACTCCTGTCGCAACGTACTTATAGCATCGAGTCATGTATCTGCCTCCCCTCTCCCCCCCCCCCCCTACTGTGGCACCGTGCCACTTCAGCACCGGGAGTTTTTGTGAAGGAACAAAACTGGGCGCGGCGAGCGGGGTATTACTCCTGACTAGCCACGTGAATATCTCTTCCCAAGGCAATCTCACGGCTACATTCATACTGTTCTCGAAGTTCGGGAACATTTCCAGCACAACGCTTGTTTCGAGCGCTATGCTGGAACGTTTCCCAACTTCGGAAACAGTATGAACGCAGCCTACGCGCCAAAAATGGATGATTGTTTAATTGGCGGACCGCTCACAAACCAGAAAAGTACAAGGATCGCAAATGCCACATTGCCAAGCCAATGCCAGAAATCTATGTACACCAAAAATATTGCTGTGAGGCCATTCGCGCTCGGGAATTCCACACCCACGAACTTCTCTTTCCTCGTGCGCACTCGTCCCTATTTTTTCTGCTCTTTCTCCCTTACAGTCATCAAGTGTCTTGGACGCAGCAACGTTGCACTCAGGGCAGAACACGAACGGCCCTAGAACTCGAATGGAGGCGCATGCTCTAGCTTCGAGTTGAGTACAGTGTGGGATATACGCGTATGCCATTGCTTTTCCTAATGCGTCAGATTCCGGAAAGGTGCATTTTTATATGTACAGTAAGTTTCGACCCGCTTTAGGCGGAAATTGGATTGGCGGGAGTCCGCCTCGCAACAGCTTGCGCCGTTTCGCAGCTACAGTATATCCTATCCTGCTGAGAACCCATGTCTGCGTCTCTTCAATCTCCTTAGTCCTTGCTTGGCAAAATGCCAGCGCTATGCGCTCGCAAAGCCTCCAGCGATGTGCATGCGCTGCTCCACGTAGAATGTCTCGCGTAATCCGGGATGAAACCGACTGTATATATAGCAGCGCAGTGATGGAATGGGTTCGGAAAGTACCACTCATGGTGCAACGTTCATTTCATAGAAGATATGACCCTATACTTACCGCCTGGAGGTGTTCTGACAATCACTGGTTCGTTAGGAAGGCTGTCACCGTCGACGAATTCTGCCGCAACCTGCACAGAAAAAGTTATATTAGGAGAAACAATTGCAAGGGAGCTGTGATACCTGAACCGCGTAATCGGAATCGGGTTCAAGTCCTTCGAGAACAACTCCGCTAGTCGCATCAGGACTGGTCTCGTAGTGTTTGATATTGCTAGGATCGTCCACCTTCCACACTTTTATCGAGTATTTCTGAAACACGTATTTTTATGCGCTTCCAATGGATGCATTCGCCTGAAACTATCGTTTGCTCGCTTTCGCTAGAGTGGGCGGAGCACTGTCTACATACACGCGCGGCGGCTTTGGTTGGCGAGAGAGTACAAAAAACAATGCTCTAGGATGGAGGTTTATCGACCGATTACATGTCATGTCATGTCTGCAGTGGTCCGCCCACTCTAGCGAAAGCGAACGAACGATATATGCATAGTTCTAGTTAGAGCATGACGCCGACTCCAGCACATATTGATTGGCGCTCATAGTGCGCCATACAACCGATAAGCAATCAGGTTTATCTGCGCAGCCGCAGCGACTGCGTCATGTGATTGGTCGTTGATAATTGTCTTTAGAGTGAGACATGAATCGAATTCGTTCAAGACAGCTGCCCCTAATATAACCCCTATTGCCATATGCGCAAGCAGTCAACTGAGTTTGAGGTAGAACAAAAATCAACGAAGAGGAACAATGGACTACCATAATTGCCTGACATATGGAACTGTCCACTCCCGGGTTCCTGCTACGCCGTGAGACACTAAACGCGGAGAGGGTATATAGCTGTTATAGGCTTTGGCAATTCTAGGCAATCGTGTCAAATGCGGCCATTGCTCGTGCGTATGCCAAAGTTTTGCGAGATTCGTTTCACTCTCAAGCGGTTTCCTCCCATATGATGCTAGTATAGTGAAGCTGAGAAGCATTAGAATGTTCGTTTGTTGAGGTGTTCAAAGCTTTGCGGCACTTATACGTGAAGACAGCAGATATACACTCGAGTAGATTTGCCGCTCAATATCTTAGACAATCACAAATGACTTCCGGGAGAAACTAAGCTTCTAAAACTTCGGGGGGATACCCACTGGAGCTGCCAGGTAGGGCGGGGCTCACCCACACGGCCCATTGGGAGCGTCCCCGGGAGTTTTAGAAGTTTTAGAGGGTTTAGAAGTTCGATTCCCCCGGAAGTCATTTGCGATTGTCTGAGGTAGTGTGCTTGCACTGCAGGTTAGAGTGCTGTAAAAGTTGCGCGTAAACAAACAGCCACGCCATTAGCCGGATTTACGCGGGCAATTGGCCAGCGTCACAGGTAGCTATTTGTTCACGCGCAAATTTTGTCGCATTTTACCTGCAGTGCAAGCAAATTATATTGAGCAAAAATCTAATCGACTGTAGCTGTCACCACCTGACAGTGCCCTATAGTTTTTTGCCAATTGAGTCTACTTGATAGTAGCCGTGTACTCCACATTTCGCTAAATCGATGTAAGCTCAGCTATTAGCACGGATCTGCGTGTGAACCATAAAAAATGGGTACTTTTCCGTTATACGGACCCATTTTTTCAAAAAAAGATATTGCTTCTATCCTTATACTAGCTGGCTTGCCCGGCTCCGCCGGGCCTGCCAGCTAGACCCGTGTACGTATGTTCCGAATAGAAATTTTTATCTCTGAACCGATTGGGACCGAACTTTGCACACATACACTTCGGGGCAGGGAGCGTGTCACAGCCCACTTTTCGTTATCGATCGATGTCGATTTTACCGATTTTTTGCAAAATTTGAGCTAGGGGGCTAGGATTTTGCACAGGGGGGTAATCGAGCATGCTGATCACCCCGAAGGGGTGATCAGCATGCTCGATTACCCCCCTCTGCCAAATCCCAGCCCTCTAGCTCGAATTTTGCAAAAAATCAATAAAATCGATATCGATCGATAACGAAAAGTAGCCTATGACACGCTCCCTGCCCTGAAGTATATGTGTGCCAAGTTTGGTCCCGATCGGTTCAGAAATAAAAATTTGTATTCGGAACATACGTACATACATACAGACAGACATACAGACAGACATACAGACAGACAGACAAACAGACATTCAGCTTTATATATAAGATCATATTTTGTCCCAGCTCCACAGGGAGGAGGTTCAACCTTCTGCCACGTGTCAAAAAAAATTTGACATGTCATCTACAAGTTTAACAGGTTCTACAAAGAGTTTGTTTGCCCTACCTATCGATGTAAGTTCAATCTGTTTTTTAGTTGATTTTGACCTCATTTCGATCAAACAGTTTGAAAATGAACATACTCATTAATAAGGGCGTACTATCACTAATGAACAGTTTAGACTTGCTCAGGTTTGAGAAGTGCGCTAGGATTCCGTCATTGGAGAGGCAAAATAAGCAGCCGCAAGGTACTTCATGCTATCATTCAGAGTCATTTCGGCTAAATTCGCATGGCGAAAAGGGTTTGAAGAGAAGTACACTTTTAATTCACTGCTGAAAGTAAGCAATATGTTCTAGCATAAGTTTGTGATTGTTTTGCGCTCATGTAAAACAGTTAAACAGCTCAAATATAACCACAAATCCTCTTTCGTCTCACCGGAAATGATCTGGAAAAAACGTCAAAATGAACCAAGACAAGTCAATTTTTTCGTGACACGTGGCAAGGAAGCAGTCCTCGTAGAATCTAGGGAAAATTATTCTTACACTGAAGAATGCATAATGTGAGAGCCTTCTGAAAAAATGGGTCCGGATAACGGAAAAGTACCAAAAAATGTATCAATGAAGTATCGTGGTGTCCAGCTTCACAGTAGGTGGAGCATTCGCATATACACACAAAAAATTGACGGGGTTATCTCTATTGTCAAAGACTGCTCCTACATTCACACGTCACCAAAAACACCTCCGTATGAGCTGCGAGGTTTCGGCCGACTCTGTGCAGCCGATGACACCGAAAAGTTTTGGGAATGGTACTTCCGCAATTCGTGACAGAAAATTTATCGTGTGTGTATCATGTTCAGACCTGTTAAAACCTGAGAGAACGCACTACTGTTATTTCTCTACACGCACTAACAGGTGACACATGTTGTGACTTTGATAGGGATGTCGCATACACTTGTGTACAGTCTCCCTGAATTTCGCCGAAATCACCCACAAAACAGAAATGTAAGTATTGCATATTTCACCTAGTGTTTATATATTAATTTTCCTCTGCTTACAGTCTCAAGTAGCGTTCTTTCTTTCGATTTTTTCTGGTGCAATAGCTTCATGGGACTAGAAACTGTAGCTAAGGAGAGGTAAGCATCCGCTCTACATTCAACCATATTTATTGCTTCTTGCCAGAACACTAAGCTGACACAGAGACGCTTCTGCTTCAAAAGGAATGTGAAGAGGCGAAAGCACATATTCGTGAGAGGGAATAAGGCTGCGTTCATAGTTGCCCCTGTGTCAGCGCTGAGGTGGGAACAAAACGTACGGCAGCACATGCGGCTCGAAGCGCGTCGAAGGAAAAAATTGTGCGGGTAATGTCATCACTTGCAAGTATTTAGACTGATTACCCTAAAACCTTACAGATAAGTTCGCTTTTTTGACTCAGATAAGCCCGGGCTATAGACCCTTCGGATAAGTCCGCTCTAAAGATAATTCGTTTTTCTCCACTGTAATTACCCCCAAAATTCTTTTCAAATAAGTTCGAAGACTGTCAGAAGGTTAGGACTATTTGCAGACGAACCATCCGATGGGAGGCCCTATCTATGAGACTTTAGGGTATTTGAATTTCATGAATTTTCAAATTAGCATTTGTAGGTTTTCTGTGCGCACATATAATTTTAAAAACCTGGAGAGCATACCAGAAATTTTTTCGGAGGGCATGTCTTACATATAAGGCTCCTTACACGACAATATTTTAAGTGTCCCCTCGAAAAAGAAAATTTGGGGCCACATTCAAGAGTTTTATGAGCTTACAGCCATGAAATAAACTCATGCAGGCCCTCATATTATGAATTGACGACTAGCTCAAACCACTAAATGAGTCAAGTGCATTTACATAGACGGATCTCCTCCGCCCATTCAGATTTTCTCACGTTCCAAAAAGCAAAATCGCAACATATTGCGAGCTTGATTTCAAACACTTAGAAGATACAGATGTTAGAGATTCCAAAGCTGTTTTCCGCATTTTTCGCTTCTGGGTGTAGTGCTAATATGAATAAGTGTCACTTTTTTTGGACCTGGCACATAATCTGACTTGCGCTATTCAAACAAAACAAACAATGAAGAATAAAATGTAAATACCTTGACTGGTTGTGAAGTTACTGCCTCCTTGAAATCTACTACCGATTCGTCATTTATGTTCGTTCCTACTCGAACTTCGCTAGGAGGCTCTGAAACCGACAGCTCAGTATGAAAGCTTCATTAACTTCCCATACAAAGAAAAGTCCACGAAGCTGCAAGTCCTTACTGGGAGTCATGACGAGCAGCGTTGGAGTCTGAATGCCTTTATCGGGACTGTCGACAACGAGGTAATAGTAGGTTCCTGGCTCCATGTCAGGTACAGCCACTCTTGTCAAAGTGGCTGAATCTGAAGGTACCACATTCCACTCATCTTTTGGCTTCTCGGGATCGTCGGTATACCGTATCACCCAGTCATTCTGAAACAACAAATAGAATGGTGACAGTGGAAGAGTTATTTGTCACTCACCGGTGGCTTGAGGTAGTCTGGGAGGTTGTCACTGAACACCAACACTACCACACCGTTCTCGGATTTTGAGACGACAAAATCATCCTTCCAGTCCGGTTCAAGACCTATAAAAAGTCAGTGGATTGAATAGGCACAAGTGCAATCTGTGTTTTAGGATTTTTTGCTAGTGCAAAAAAACCCAAACATTTTTACCACGTCGTCGGGTTACATACCTGGCAGAAGGTTGACGTTGATGGTCCAATTTGCATGTCCAAGTGGATTCTGTGCGACACAATTGAAGGTCGTGTCTTCTGTAATATTTGCCACCTTCAGCGAGAACTGAGCGTGTTTGGCTGCAGTGTCCACCTAAATAGGTAAGATAATTTATACATGCGGTGTGTCTCAGAAAAATGTGTCGAACGTTTGATCGCTTGTAATTCTTTTGTCTAGCTTCGTAGACAATACTCAGGAACAATTACGTAGAGCTGGTTTGACTTAGCACTAGATTTCTGGTATGGAGCGAACACCTATCGCACCTCATTATTATAGGATTACGGTATGAATCTTTCAAAAGACTTCTGCGCCACTGAAAGCATTATTGGTTTGAGGAACTATTTGAAAAAGCTAAACTTTGTTATAGGTCATTTTTAGTATCGTGACGACTGATTTGACTTCGGTCGTTGCGCGTAAACCACTCAAAAAAGGGGTATCACCTCAAAACTCAACTCAGTCACTTCCAGTATGTAAATACCATCATATTTGAGCAAAAAAACCATTCAAGTAGCGATGAAAACCAAGAAAATGCGGTTGCCGGAGGACGCGTGCGTGTTGCGCGCGGCCGCGCCATCGTCACGATTTTTCAAATGCCCTATACCTATCTAGTATTGCTGAATCCATATATGTGCTTCTCGCTTCATTATAGCTTATCTCAGCAGGAATGACAGGTACACCGTAAGAGCTGTTTTCAAATAATCATCAGAAATCTAATTAATATCAATCAAACTGCTCTACGAACGTGTACAAAGTTTTCTACTACAATTGATGTTTCCAGTTCATCATAGAATTTGAAAAGATCTGAAATTTTCTTCAAATGGCAGTTGATTTGCAACAGCTACATCATACTGGAAGTTCCCTACCGTAATCCTACAAAGTATAGGGTGATGTGTGATTCCTTCCGCACTTGTAAATCAAAGATAAAGCCAGCCTCACAATACGATACCCTAAGATCCGCGAAAAAGAGAGTCATTTGCAATCAAGCCTTTGACACGTTTTGGGGCACCTTGTGCATTTTCTCAACATACCGTGCTCGGATCGATCTCGTACGTGCCACCTCTGATCCATTTCACGGAAGGCAGCGGCAGTCCTGTAGCATTGCAGGATACTGTGATCTGTGACCCGGGCAAAACATCGATGTCGGTGCTACCAGCCACTCCATTTTCACCAGTCGAGATTTGGATGTATGGCGCGTTTCCTGTAGGAATCAAATTGATTTGGTCGTCCTAAGAGAGGAGGACAGACCATCTGGCAATGTCTTCATGATGCAAGGTTCGGAAAACACGCTGGGGCCATCGGGATACATTGCACGAATCTTGAATACATAGTCCGTGTCTGGTTGCAGTAGGTTCTGGATCCTGTGCGTCAACTTATTTGGATCGTCGATGACGATTTTCGACCTGGAACTCAACGAATTTGGTCAAACCAATACTTATTTTGCAACTCCTTTCTCGATTAAAGTTTGAAAATGATTTCTACAGAATAGTTACTGCTCTAATAAACATACCAATCGCTCAGCACCAATTCGTCGGCGTCAACGCTCTTATCACCAGGCACATAGTAAATTTCATATCCGATCGGATTCTCATCTGTTGTAGTTGGTTTCTTCCACTCCATCACTGCCGATCTTTGACCATCCGGATCCACTCTCAGGTCTGTTGGCGGTCCTTCTCGAGCTGAAGTATGTTCGAAATGATCAAATTTGCAAAAATGGGGTTACCGTATCTTACCTCGCGACATAGTGCGAATGGTGTACTGATTCGAATACGGGCCAGGTCCATCGTCGTTAATTGCTTGTACCACCACTGCGTAGGCAGTATCTGTCTCGACAAAGTCTTTCAAATCCACTCGACGAGTGCCATCCATGTCCGGAATGTCGTGATATGTAAGCCATTCGTTGATAGGCCTTGACTGGACCTGTCCGATCTGATGAGCTGGATCCTGCAACGATATCCATAAGCGACAATATAGAAGAAAGTCTCGCATACCTGGTCATCTAGCGGAGTGTAGTACACAATGTACTTCGTTATGTTGCCGTTTGGAATAGTAGGTGGATCCCATTGAACGGTAATTGTGACTGGCTTATCAGCATGGAGGTTAACATTTTCTGGAGGTGATCCAGGACCTGCAAGTTTTTTTTTCAAAATTATCCTAACTCAAACAGAAGTTTTGCCAAAATCTTATCTCAGCACCATAGATATAAGATTCTGCATGAGATTACCTGCGACAAAGACGGTGAAGTCCGTTTCTTTGAGTCCTCCTCGGTTTTCAGCCAGACACTTCGCCTTCACCGTTCTCCTCACATCCACCAGTTTCAATGTCGGACCGTCAGAAAGTTGCTAGAAAATTTTTTATTTACCCCTCTATACATCCATCTATTTTCCAGTTAAAATCTCACTTTAGAACTTACATTGCCCTCACTGTCCACCCATCGAATATCTGGAGGTGGGAAACCGGTCGCTGAACACGATACCGTGTAGTCGGTGCCGGCGGGAACTCGAATCTTATTATCGGGAGCATCCACATTCACTTCCGGCTGCGATGGTGGAATCACTGAATTTTGCGTTTTTTGATATGGCAAGAGAACCAAAACTGGTACGCACCTCCATCTCCAGTTGTGAACACGGTAGGATCGCTAGCTGGTCCATCGATCTCTCCACGGGGAATGATCTTCACATGATACTTTGTGTCAGGGTTGAAGTTCTCACCGTCAATAGGAACAACCTGAAGAGCGATTTAAACGATTTAATCGAGCCCAAAAAGCAAACACCCGAAGCTTACAGTGATATTGTCCGTATCGTCTGGATCGGTGTAACGAAGCTCCTTCCAATCGGTCTCGTCTGTTGGCGGATCTTCTGATGTGTACTGGATGACGAAGTCCTAAAATAGATAATTTTAGTGAAGATGGAGATACTCGATTGTTTACGCAAGTAATTAGTTCAATGTTCATCTAGGAGACAGTTTCAGAATTGCTTTTCTTGATCAATAAGGTAGAGTAAGGGATGAAAAATGAAAATTTAACAATAAATCAATTCTGGCAGATTGAACTTAGAACACACAGAAAATCATAGTCCACAAGAGCAGCGAGTGTGATGATTAAACATCTAAGAGAATAGGACGAAGAAGAATCTTCGTATAATAATACTACTGAAGATCTTGCACCAAATTAAAGCGTGCATGTATAGTTTTTTGAAGTTGATAACCTTGATGCCTACATGTCTCATTTTTCCAAAAAAAAATGAAAAATCTTATGTTAGCGAGAGGACATCACGGTCGTAGTTTAGGCAAATTCACTAGTGAAATTCGAACAGAGAGAGGATAAAATGCCGAACTTGCGGTCTTTTGTTCATTCATTACGCAATGTGACAGTTACAATCTTCTCGGTGTTTTTGTAATGAGGATGTAAAAGATTGGATATTCCGTAGCAGAAGTGTTTGAAGTAGCAAACTTTCTATGCATATCGTATAGTTTATCTGTGCACAACATGATGACGGTTGTAGTGATATATCTGAGATCTTGCGGAAAGTTAAGTAGAAATGACCAATCTCTTTTCTTATGGGAAAATAAAACAGAGAAGAAATAATGAGTGGACCATGAATCTATAACTGCTCAATCCAGAATTCATTTAGATAGCGCAGAAAAGATGAGTATGAACATCATTTATACATGGATCTGGATACATGACCAAGACAAGTTGTATTTCTAGTGATATAGCCGAAAAGTAGACATGTTGCTCACCTTGATTTGTTTTCCAGGATGTTCAGGATCTGCTGGAGGTACAAATTCGATTACTACGGAGTTGTTGTCAAATACGGAGATTTCTGGATTCTTGACTTGAGCTGGGGCTGTAATGCAAAAAATAGACATATTTCTTGTTTGGATATTGGAACACTTACCAAGTGGAAGTGTCCGAATCATTTGAGGAGCTGACATGACGCCTGGTCCACGATCGCTGACTGCTTGTACACGAACAGCGTAGTTCTTCTTTGGGTCCAGTTGCTGCAGTTGATGATTGACGTCCAGTCCATCCACAGTCGCCATATTCCACTCCTTAGGTTCCGTTTCACCTGCAGAGAAGCGCATTTTGTAGGTTTTGAAAGGTTTGATAAAAATGAAGGTAGCGAACCTTCCGGTACTTCTCCGTAGTGCACGATGTAATTGGTAATTCGTCCATTCACCTCATCAGGTGTGGTCCATTCCACATTAATCACTTGGTTTGGCATAGGCAAAAGCACGATTTCGTTAGGAGGAGTGCCAGGACCTGAAGTTATATTCTTATTTTGGTTGGAGGGGGGAGGGGGAGGGGAGGTACGATAAAAGATAGGTTACATACCCGATATTTGTATTTGTACAACTTCTTGAGTACCTCCGGCTTTGTTCTCTGCTTTGCAAGTGGCTGATGTATCCTATAAGTCACATTTTAGAACCACATGATCCTTCGAAGCTCTTCAGTACGAACCTTTATCAAATCTCTCAGTTGTAGAGTCTTTCCCTCTATTCTTTCGCCGTTTTCCAACACCCAATAAACATGAGGTTGTGGTATGCCTGTGGCCGTGCAGACAATCGACACCGATCCCCTTGGTTCCACGGAAACAATGTTCTGTGGTGGATTCAACGTGATCACTGGTGGAGTTTCTGGAAAACACACTTTTCTGGTGTTTCTTCGAAAAATCGATAGTTTTGTAGCTTAGCTGCTGATGTACTTATTGTAAGTACGGATGCAATCATATTTGCCACTACCCAAATATCTCTCAATATCATCTTGAGAATGGCTGATTTGTTCAAAAAGGCCTTAGGTTTCTTTCTTTTTGATTTTACGGTGACCATCTAATTCTAAGGATTGTCCTTGTTGGAATTTGATGAGTTTTTCACCTCCACTTCCTGTCTCGAACATTGTCGGCTCAGATGCAGGTCCTTCAGAAAGGTCATTGGTGGCTGACATGCACACCTAAAAACAATATTTCAAAATACAAAAGTCTTAGGCTTTGTTTCACCTTGTATGGCGTATTGGGCCTGATGTTGTACTGATCTTTGTCGATGGTAATGGTACCATGATCTTCTGTAGAAGGCACTTCGATCCGATTTGGCCACGATTTGCAATCGTCATCGGCGGTTCCATCATCAGGTGCAAAGTAGATAGTGTATGACTAAAGAAGGAGTATAAGGACCGGGATATGGCAATGTATTGAAAGGATCCCACTTTGATGGGTCCATTCGGATCTCGTGGTCCAGACCAGGTGATATTGACCGTATTGTCCTCTGCCACTGCAGGGAGTATATCCTTCGGCGAGTCGAGCGGAGCTTAAAGTTTTGATGGAACGGTGGTTAGCCTTTGAAGTTAAGAGTCATGTACGTACCTCCGCTGACTGTGTTGAAGTGCGACACATCGGAGTGCACTCCTTCACCATGCGGATTCACAGCTGCAATCTTCACATAGTACGGGCTCTCCGGCTCCAACTCTCCTCTCTCGAACACCAGCTTCGGTTCGCTCGGATCCTTCACATCGAACACTTGCCACTGGTCGACTGGCTTCGATGGATCTCCGGTCAAGTAGACTTTGTAGCTCTAAAAAACAGACTATGCTTACAAGGAAATGGTCAGAAGTCGAAGTGGCCAATCCATACAAGCTGCATACCATTGAATGCAGTATAAAATGCTGACTCTAAATCTGTCTTCCTTATCTGCAGAGCGCTTTTGTGGACGAAATTATAAGCCGTTGAAGGCCATCATTTTGCTAACAAATTGTGCACGTAAAATGCAAACTTGGCCGTACAAAGCCATTCTCGGCTCACTGTTGGACCAAAACATGCAACTAGGTCAGTTTATATGACCCGTACCTAGATGTGAGCTGAAACAGCAATAATGTGCCTAATTTCGCAATTTTTGTATACGGTTTTTTCGCAGTAAAGCTGCTCATAACTTCGCCTACAAAGGCGCTCTGCAGATAAGGAAGGCAGATTTGAAATCAGCGTTCCATGCTGCATCGAATGGTATATAGCTTGTTTGGATTGGCCACTTCGACTTCTGACCATTCCCTTGTTAGCCATGCTCAAATGAGTTCCCACAACCAACCGTGATATCTCCATTCGGATACTTCGGCTCCTCCCAAGTGAGAGTCACTCTGTTGTCTGGGTCTACAATTGCTTGGACGTCTCTTGGAGGGCTTCCAGGTTCTGAATTTGTGAAAAGGTTGAGTACGATTCAACGGAAATCGCGGTGATGAATTTTTGAACCGTTCTGGTGTTTTTGTTTCAAAGGTATAAGACTCACTGTTCACGATGAACGAGTGTTTGTCTTCCACGGTTCCGTCTGGATTTCTTGCTTGACAAAGCAATGTGCGTTTCGTGGATGTGGTCGAGTAAACCTTAAGCGTTTGCCATTATGAGAAGCCACAAGATCAGATTTGAATAGAAATCCTCTTGGTTAAAAATTTACTTGGATGGAAATATAACGGTGATCTTTTGATGGATCCGGATTGATGGGAATGGGGACAGGCTCCTGAATGAAAAATTTGGAACTCTATAGCAGTAAACATTATATTTTTACTAACATCACCGCTCTCAGTAGAGTTCATAGGCAACCAACTGTAAGAAACGCTAGGCATTGGGCGACCCTCAGCAATACATCTGCAAATTGTGTTCGAGATCTCCTATCTACTTTTATAATGTGATCTCTCACTTGAAATGAATTGGTTGTGCAGGGTCTACTTCCGTCTCGGTGGCATCTTCACTTACATGTGGATCGCTGATCTCAAGTCTGACGGTGAGAGGAATTTCTGTAACATTTGATTCGATTATAGGCCTTCTAAACATTGAGAAGATTGGGTTCTTGAGATTGCTTGTTATCCGTTTACTCGCTATGTCGAATATGTCTTGTGTAAATTCTTCAAAACTGATTTTTCAAAGAATTTTCTGCACTAGATTTCTCGAACTACTGTGAAAGTCCCATTTGATTTCCTACATTTAACGCTTACTGTCGAAAAAGACATTTTTAAAGGAGAATGATATTTTCCAATGTAAGTTCCATTGTAAAACCAACTTTTCTAATCTGTCAAGTCAAATTTTCCCTTTGCTTGGTCTACCCTCAACCTTTTTCAGTCTACATATGTACTTACGTCTTCTTCCTGTTGTCACATCATAGGGCTCAGAAATAATACCAGGACCGTCATTCGTTGCAGCTTGTACTTTCACCACATATGGAGTGTCTTCGTCATCCACTTGCACAGTGAGATTCCTGAGTTTCCACCATTTTTATCATTTTTTTTGTAAATATGATCTTATACTCGAAGCAAAGCATGTAATCGTACGGATCTATCGGTGTCCGTAACTCTTTATGAGTAAACACAGCTCACCTCACATCACCACCTACAGTTTGCGACTTCCACTGGGAGAGTGGTGCATCTGGATCTTTGGTATAGTAGACGATATAATTCTAGATTGTGTAAGATGGAGGTTATCTGCAAAGCTTCATTTGCAGACCTACCTTAATTCTTCCGTTAGGTCTCTTAGGTGGCTGCCAAGCCACATCGAAACCAGTGTGCATTGGGGTTGGTTGAATGTGCAGAGGTGCACTGCCAGGTCCGAGAATTTTGACCTCAACTCTCTTCTCATCAGAGCCTTCAGGGTTGACTGCCTGAAAATCATTCATGGTACTGCTTTACCGTAGCTGATGAAAGCATAACATACCTGGCAGGTGGCCACTCCAGTCCTTGTCGTACTCTGTGCAATAAGCTTGCTCTTGGAACGTTCTTGAGCGTCTATGGGTGTAGTGTCATAAACGCGGAACTCATCCTGAATTTGCATTTTGAAAGTATGGCAAACAAGAAAGAAAACATACCTTTCCATCCTCAACAAGCTGTCCACTCCACAGCCAAATAATCTTTGGCTTTGGTACACCGACGGCTTCACATTCAATGCTAAGTGGCTCATTGCTTGGTTGTTTGACAATCTGTCCGCTCGGACTAATCATAACATATGGAGGACGTGCTGAAAGTCATGGTATTTATAAATGGGTGATAAGGAAAGTGAGCCTTTCTAGCTTTTTCTCTGAGAACTTTTGCTATACAGGATATCGGTGGTGATGCCGCACTAGGCCCCGGACAGGCTTCACGCGATTTGATCGTCGCGACTGAATCGCGACGAGACAATTGTTACAACATCATTCCATGCCGATCAACTCGCATTTCGGTTGTGATACTTTTCCAGCCCGAAATTTTTGAATGCGAAATGAAAATGAATGGAAATGTCGGCGATTGAGTCGCGACGATCAATCGCGTAAAGTCTGTCCGGGGTCTAGTCTTGTTCAAAGTCATGCAAAAACGCTGGGATAAGTTAGTAATCTTACTTAAGTATACAGAATAGGCTCGCATTACAAACGGATGTTTTTTGCAGTGGGGCGAATTTGCTCTTATACAGCCTTGAGAAAAAGGTTTAGTGTTACGGTAATCGCTTTGATGTTTTACGTGGCTGGTCACATTCTCTAGCTTAAAGTGAACTAGCTGGCTTATACAAAGCTCCACCCGGCCCCGCCAAAACACTATGATAACAGTCCCATCCCTCTGCAGTCTTGGCGTCTTATGAATCGCCGGTACATATCCTTTAATTCAACGGGATTGGCGGCTGAAAGGCGGGGCTTTGAGGCCTAATCAAGGCCAGAGAATGATCAGAGAGCACGCTCGCGAGAGAGAAGCAGACCATGTCGAGGGAGCGAGCGCTTTCTAGCTGGCAATCCCATTGAATCAAAGGGTACAGACAGACAAACAGACATTCTGCTTTTCTAAGGTAATTTAGCTTTTGTGGTTATAACTATAAGAAACAAACTTTTGACCCGAGTGAGTTAACGACTCTTGTAGAGTTTCAAAAACCTCGGCCTATAACAACGCTCTAGCTACCGTATGACCGCCCTTACGGTGACGGAAGGAGTCTATAGAAAGTGAAGTACAAGTGACCGAGCTTCACTGATTATGTCCTTCAAAGCAGATTAGCGCATGATTGGACCCACAGTACTTACTAGAACAGTAACCGCTCAGTACTTGAAGCTGGATTTTCATTTATCAATGCTGTCTCAGATTTACCTCCCAGCCACGTTGTGGCGTTGAAAGCACCGCTAAGAAGTCCTTCACCAAGCTTGTTTCGACCGCGGATTCTAAACGTGTACGGTGTTCTCTCGCTCAGCCCCGGGATTGTCGCAGTATTCATGTGAGGATCCTCCACTTTGTGTACCTATACATATACAGTGTTACTCATTAGTAGTGTGATTTTCTTAATATCTTACTTTCCACTGGTCCTCAGGGAGGTTAGGGTCATCAGTGTAGAGTACATCATAACCAGCCATGGGTGCGTTGATAATTCGTGGCAATTCCCACTGCAGATTCACTTTATCGCCGTCAACTTGATAGCGAATACGTTCAGGTGCAGTAGGACCTATTCATTCCACTGTCTCTTTCATTCTTGCCAACACCCCTACCGTACACCTTACCAGTTACAGTAATATTGATGCGCTTTGTGCTCTTTCCCGCTTCATTTTCGGCAACGCACGAGAATACCGTATTCTCGATGACACCGCCAATGTGCATTTTCATGTATAGAGTCTTCTCACCATTGTTCAATGGGCGGCCCCTAAAACAATTTTTTTTCATTTAGTGTTGACTACTTGAAATATGGAATTCTTACTTATGCTGCCAAGTGACCACTGGGACTGGATCGGCTCTGGTTATGTTGCATCCGAGTTCAAATGGTTTCAGGGGTGCTACGAAGAGTTCCTCACCTTGCTCGATAGTTACCAAAGGTCTCGCAGCTAAAAGAAGTTTTCACTAACCGGCGAAGATCTGAGTTTAAGCATTTCGTCTTTTCACGTGAAAGCTCTTTAATTTACTCGATCGATTTGGAGAGTTTTTTACCTGGTCTCAGTGTGGTAACTGAAGCTGGGTTGCCCAATCTACCGGGTCCCATTTGGTCATTGGCCCGAAGCCGGATGTAGTATTGCGTGTTGGGACGTAGATTCTCGATAGTAGCCTGATGATTGGGCTCTGAAATAAACGAATTCAGAGTTTTGCTAGACAAAGGGCGTTGAGTCTACCTTTCACTTCCAGCTTTTGCCAGTTCTTGATGGGCTGGTTGCCATTGTTTGTGTAGTAAACAGTGTAGCTGGTAATCGGTCGATTAATGACATGCGGTGGGTCCCAGCGAATCTGGATCGTTGTTCTACCAGATAGTGCACCGCGAAGCACAGGAGCAGAGCCGGGACCTTTAATTCAATTTTATACTGCTTGGATACCTTTGTCATTGAGAATCTCTAAGGACTGCTTACCAGTGATGATTACTTTCACGGTCCTTTCCACTTTCCCCATGGAGTTGTTGGCATGACATGTGAATTCTGCATTTTTGAATAATTCCTTGATAATAAGTATCTGCTCGTTCTTTACTGTTCCAACTTTGGAAGGGATGTTGTGTACACGCTCATCTCCCCTGCAAAAATTGAATAGAAAGTACGCATTGAATACTTACCCCTCTTACCTTTGCCAGTAGATGTCTGGGAAGGGATAAGCGACAGCTGAGCAGGTGATATTGATGTTGCCTCCAGGAGGCACTTCATAGGGGCCTTGTGGCTCGACATATAGTTTTGGAGGTCCACGTAACACTAAAACGCAAATTACGGTGTTACCCTCATTTTGCTGTTTGGCATCTACTTACGTAGACATTTAGCTCCCTTCGGGCATGTACAAGAATACTGGTTGTCATCAATTGATGCGCAGGAGCAACCCGCCAGAGATCGACATAGTGTCTTGGGGATAGGCTCTGAAAAAAGTCAAATTTTTTCCAAATTTTTTTCCCTTTCACTTGATAATAATCCTTACTGATGCAAGTTTTGCCATCGGTGTCAAGAGTCATGCCTCTTGGACAACGGCATTCCACAGTCGCATCGTTGATAGACAAGCATGAGTGACTGCACCCACCATTGTCTTTCTCGCACAAACCTGAACTCTTATTGGTTCGCATTACGGTAATACCGTACTCGTTAGGTCTCACCTTTTCCGCGACAGACTGGCAGGGTGTTCACCCAAGTTTTCTGGTGACAAAATAGGGTGTCGATTTCGTCGATCATTTCATAACCGAAATCGCAATGGTACTTTACGAAAAGGAATGACCTGAAACAAAACATTTACTAGTGATGCAATTAAATTTTGAAGATTTTGCTTCCTCCACCGTTTCTTGAATAGTGAGATATACAACTATCCTATGAAAAGCGAGTTGTCCAGAATTTGAATTGGTGCTATCAAGCAAAGAAATGAAAAAGTTTTGCACAAAGTTTTTTTGTTATATTATTTGCTCAGTTTTAATACATCGTTTCCCCAGATATTATGGCAAACGCTAGTGTGAGATAGGAAATGTCTGAGCTGTGTAATTCCATTTTTTGCGAGCGAGTTTATAGAAGTTAAAAAGTTTTTCTCGTGGATAGCATGTCAAGTTTCCCAGTCAATTATTCGATTTGTCTGGTTGCCATTGTTTTTATTGAGTCTTTTGTATTTAGTAATTTAGCCTACATAGAACCAAACTTCAACGACCTAATGATCCTAAGGTATTCAAAAGCACTGTTCATTCAATTCGAGCACTAAAAGTAAGTAAGTAGATGGCAGGCAGTAGTTTCTTTTTTTTTTGTCCATAAATACCAGAAGAAGGTGTCGCGAACATGATTTGTGTCCTCCTCGATGCATCTCCATCCACAGGTATGTGTCTTTATGGAATGAAATGTAAGAGATCTCACTTTGGGGTAAAAGTCATGTTCTTTGGCATTAGTCTCCCCTGCTGACGATAATACTGTATGATGAGACGTCGTAGGTTGTCCGGCGGCACGAAGGCCATCGCGCGAACTCTGAAAAAAGTATAGTCGTGCGAAACGACGGTGGTCTTGAGCACTCACGTTGCATGGGGAATCACCGGTGGGGCTACCAAACCCGACGTACTCCTTCCTGTCACATCTGTGCAGGTTGTGTCGAGATCTTCATAACTCGGGTAGCATATTTCACGGCCAGATGCCTATAAGGAGAATTGTTTACGGTGGAACCTTGTCGAGCACAGAAGAGATCTTACCCTTGATACGACGCACTTTCCAGCGTCCGGTGGGGGAATTGGCGGCGCCGACACTGAAACGCAAAGGTTACGATGCGAAATAGAAGGTTAGTGTCAGTAAGCAGCGAGCAGACATATTAGCATGCGTTTGATGAGGATACCAACCGATCCGCGTGGACTGAGCAGCAAGTCAGTGTGTGTCGCTTAAGCATCATGCGGTTAGTAGTGAAGCACTGCGTTAAGCGGAGCTGCCTCCGAATAGGCAGCTCCAAACTCCGAACTGAACAAGCACTACACCTCACAACGTCTACAACCACGAGCACGGCAAATTGCACACTAGCCGTTGCTCCTCGGCTTTCGAGCCGGCTCCGTCAGGCGTCGTGCCCTCTTGTCCACGATAGTTTACAATTAGTCGACCGCAACACCATGAAAGTCACGACACTCGTCTCTACTCCGACTACGACTAAGCTTGCCTTCTTCTTCCATTCCGCAGAAGTGCGAGGCTTGATCGGCAGACACGACGCAGCGACCAGTTCCATTCGCACTGAGCACGACTGCGCCCCGACTTCCGTATCGGTGACTATCATCATCTGAATCGCTTGCCACTTCGTCTCTCGCCTTCTGCTTCCTTTTTGTCTTGCACCTCGTGCCGGGGCCTCCTGCAGACATGCCCCCACCACTACTACTATTCTACGCTAACTACATCAGAAGCTCTGTCCGAGTCCGTCTGGAGCGAGCAAAGAGTGAGAAGGAGGAGAGAGTGATCCGCAATGATAGACTGAAAGGAGAGAAGCTGGTGTTGTAGGAGCGTCAATGAGGTCGAACGGAGCTCTGTCCTCTGCCTTTTCTCGTCAGCCGAGCAGTACATGCCTTTCAGATACCTCTCTCTCGAAATTTCGCTCAAAAGCATGCTGTTTGGCGGCAAAAGAACAGATGCGTCTCTCTGCGCCTCTCGCGCGATTGAGGGCGGTGACGGCGTGAGTGCGAAGCGGAAGACTGCGTGAGGCAGCAGGTGAGCGGTGGCGCCGTCAATCGCCGAGAGGAGCGGTCAGAGAGACTTCGCATGCGGTGCAATAAGTTCCTATTCTACCTAGGATCGGGCAGTATCTGGCTCTTTTCGCCCTGCGGCGCCGCAGAGGTTCCGGATAAAGCACGTCTTGATAGTACGTCGAGGCACGCGTTGCATCGAAACCCGGCAATACCACTACGACCGGTCGTACATCTTAAACTCAAAACATCTTTTCATGGTTTTCAAACGACTCCCCCTCACACACTACTCACGGAAATCAGCATGGTGGCACTTTTTGTGCCGCCATCTTATGCTCTGTCGCTCGCTACAGCAAATCAAAAAAGCAGAGCGAGCGGGTAATTCGATACGAGTCGCAACTTTTCTGGGCAAAGCCCGTACAACTGCAAAAGCCTGCACTAGTATGAGGAGCCAAAACTATACGGCTAATTTTGCTTTACGAAAGAGTAGGATGTCATTGACAGTAACACGAGTCATTGGTATCTATCAGTTGAGATGCAAGCTTTGCAAAACTGTTTTTGAGCACTCCAGCAAAAGTTGGAAGATTGAGTCTGCATGATTCCGTGCAGCAGTTGTTGTATTCGAAAAAGCGCAGGCATTCGCCGCTTCTGACCATTCAGCAGCTGCGGAATGACATGAACGGAGCAGAAGAGGCGAACAGCTCCGCGCTTTTGGAGGGAGAGGGCCTGTACTTCTAGGTCTGCGCAAGAACGCGAAATTTTTTTCGCAGTGGTAATTGCAATCACCTGGCAGTCTCCTCCTCATTGACTTTCTTACAGTGCAACATTCTCTGAATTCACCTGCAGAAAAATTCAAAATGAAGACCAAAACGTTGAGTTCAAGGAGAGACAGCGAAAGAAGAAAGTGGCGAAGAGAAAGCGGGGAGAAGTGAAAGAGACAGAGAAGGACCGAGGGACATTCGTGTGGACTGCGGTGGACGAGAGGCGTCCACTGCCCAGCTAGCCTAGGCATGCACGGACTTACTTCGTGTCGGAGCTCGCTTAACTCGCCGCAGCTCTCGCATCCACTCTTGGATTTGCAGGTCGCCTTGTAGGTCGTCCACGGCCGTGGTCGGCACCAATTCCTGAGCGGCAAATCTTCTTCTGTTCAAGTAAGATTTAAACACCACTACCTGCGCGGAAATGGCCAGCGCCCATAGCGCCAGAAGCAGCAGATGAGGACGATTCATCTAGTCGCTCTCCTAAAAATCCACATTAGTCTTGCCACTTCGAGTTTCGACGTTCGAGCGCCGCCGCCTGTCGGCCACTCGCTCAAATATTCGTGTCATAGGTTTGACCGATTGCTTTTACAACGACTTCTTCACACCTATAGCCCTTGCTGTAGTCTCTTACGAGAAATTTGCGCAACCTAGCTCATGGCATCAAACACAAGCTTTGCTTTCAATAGATTCATTAGTTAAAGTGGCCTTACTATTTGAGATCTGAACTATCTTAGCAGTCATGCAATGCTTATCTCAATCCCATCTTCCTTAATTGCGGAGCATATTCGCATTACGAGTTCTTAGCCCGCGTCAAAGCAATGAACGTTCGATTAGAATTGTAAGTCATTGGAGTGATATTGCTCAAATGAAGCGATTGAGCAGGGGTATATCAACCACAGGTATATCGCTAGAATGTTCAGAGATAAATATGTTCATACAAGCGCAAGCAGAACTGTTTGAGTACTTTCCTTCAGCGCATTGAAACTTCAAAGCTCAGCGGATATGAAAACTAATTCAAAAGTAGGATTTGTTGCCCTCCAAGATATAGGGCATTTGAAAATCGTGACGATGGCGCGACCGCGCGCGACACGCACGCACCTTCCGGCAATCGCATTTTCTTGGTTTCAATCTATACTCGACTGATTTTTCGGCTTAGATATGATAGTACTTGGACACTAAAAGTGACTGAGCTGAGAGTTGAGGTAATGCCTTTTTGTGTGAGGGTGGTATGCTGCTGTGGGTGCAAAGACCGCAGTCAAATCCTTCGCCACGATATTACAAATAAACCTTAGTATAGCTCTCATTCGAACAGACCATCAACTAAGTTCTTGTTGTGAGTAACTTTTGTCCACTATGAAAGCGCTGCAGATTTTCCTCATCACTTGATTTGAACACTCATATTTTGTTTATGCATTTTCCCCTCTCTACAGCATAATTCCCAAGACACAGGAAAGTATAAGTCTAAGTTCCTGTAACTCATAACTTCTAATTGTCAACAGAAATGAGCATTCGCAAATTTTCTTTTCTTAAGTTTGTCGTTTATCGGTTTTTCTGGGCATGATCTAAATGAGAAACAAACTATCTTTTAGCGCAAAAATAGGCTGATTACTTTGCCAGAAACGACAATAGAAAATTTTTTTTACCATTCCTCATATAAGTCCATCCTTTATCTCCTTTGTGAGGGATAGGAGAGCAATCCTGACTATTTATTCAGAAACAGAGACTAAGGATTCGCGATCTCAAACAAATACAAACCATGCACGGGACAGAGTAGGAGACGACTAAAAGAGGGAAGTTGGGCGTAATTGTAGCTTGACCACTTGAGCAGAAATACGCTGTTGAATTTTTTATAAGTACTCAAATTTTCAGTTGCAACTTTGACCAACGCACATTTGACTGATGAAAATTTTAGTAAAACATTTGTGACGAATGTCCTTTTGGATGATGTGCAGTTTTTCAAGTCTACGATTCATGCTGTTTCGAAAAATAATGCAAGAAAAAGCAGTGCTCATCAGTTATTCCATGTCCTTTCATATATAGATGTCAATTTGAAATGTGCTGACTCGCGATTTCAATGGAACCTCTGCAGCAAAAGCATATAGCTTCCGTATGTATTCTTTTTATTCTGAGCATGAATGATGGGTGACGCTTTGCAGTTAGAAGCTGGATAGTAAACGAACCTGTTTACTTGTAACTAGCGTGTTGTACAATTTATCGCCCCATATACTGACGCGCGAAAAAGTTGCTGACCTCTTGTGGATGGTACCTTTTCGATCGTGAGTCGTCTGGAAATAAAGATAAATTATGAGAAGTAGGCAATCTGTATTGTGTATACGCCATCGCGAAGGTAAGAAGAGTGGAAGAAAAATCTGGAGGACAAAACAATAACTTATGAATGCGTTGTAAGGATGTTCTCTTGAACTCGAAAGGATGTAGTACACGTTAGCAACTGGAGAGAGTGAGTGAAGTGCGAAGTTGTTCTCTCAGTGTAAGAGATAATGGGCACAAAGCTCTGGAGTTTTTTACTAAAGCTGGTCAAGCAGCTCTAGTTCACACATCCAAGACGATGTCATTCGCCTTAGTCTCTTATGACGAAGCGAACAGAAGCCGGGTCAGGCCAGGGAAGGGGCGGTGGATCTGCAGCTGAGTGGCGGAGCGACTGGCTGCTGATGGCAGGGAGCAGGGGCAGGAAGCCTCCTCTGATGGCGTTTACTGTTTTGGAAACTCGATCCGCGGCTGACAAGCGCTGCCACAGGAGCAGCGCCGTTTTTGCACTGTTCGCCTGAGAAGCGAAGCTGTGCACGTAGATGCATGCGCAGACCGACGTCGCAGAAGACAGCTGAAGAGTTCTCTTCCAGCAAAGTCTGTTTGTCATCAAGAAGAGGCTGACGACTATGATGCATGAGACTGCATGCGCAGTTTATATACGGGACAGACGAAGCTCTGCCCTCAGCCACAAATCAACATATGGGTTTCTCTTTCGAATAAACTAGTTTTTTAGGCACGAAAAAAACCGCTGGTGTTGCGAAAGAGTGGCTATATGACGAAGCCCTAAGAAGAGTGGTACGAAACAAAAGCTGACCATTTGTTACAACATTGGCTATAGTGCCGCCACAATCCACACTTTTATAGTCAGTCGTTCGTGCTATGCACAGTCGGCTGAAATCCATAAAATGTCGCCTTCGTCTGCTATCGGTAGAGTATGAGTCAAAATGGATCATCGCAAGGCTATAGCCATCTTTCCCGAGAAAATCTGGGTCCATAGCGCGGGGGCAAAAAAACATCATTCAGCTTAGTTGCCCTACGAACTGATATTGTTGTGTAGAAACTTCTAGGAACCAGTAGTGCCCTTAACATAATGTCTGGTTTGTCAGTATGATCTTGAATTCCGGGAATGCACGAAGAAAAAATCTAAGAAAGAGCAATAGCAGATGTTTGTAGTGCATCTGATATGACTCAACATTATCCTATCAACAATGTGTAAACAAAAGCACACCTGTGTATTGTCTGGAGAAAAGGACCGTCTGACATATTATGATAAAAGTGACATGCGAGAATGGGCAGTAACCTACGAAAATTCTAAGAGGAATGAGATTCCATTTGTTGCAATTCTGTTTCTTCAGCTGGTTTTTTGCGCAGAGGGTGATTTTTGCGCCGGCATGCTTTTAGATTCGCTAATGCAGAAACAAAAGCGGACGATTTCTTCACAATAAATCTGGAAATTGGAGAACCAACGAAATTCAACACTACCAGAAAAAGCGTTCATCTAAGTAGAAATAGTCCTCCACTGAGGTAGCGAAATCGACACCGCCGATCAGAAAATTTCCATGACGCAAGCACTGGCGCAAGTGGTGATACGGTAGCCTAGTTGATAAGGCATGGTGTACTTAGAGATGAGCGTATGGAAACTCAGTGGCTGAGTGAACCACTTGCCGAGGCATCCGCGAACCCCGTGTGCGTGTGAGGCCATGTGGAGTTATAGTGCCTCGGTGTTATTTGTTAGAAAGTGTGCAAACTCAGCCCGCACGAACAAAGAGCCACAACTCATCCTTTCGGCACAGAATATTTTGCATGCTAAAAGAAGTTGATCAGTGAAGACGGGCTCACCAGTGTAAAGGTCTTCACGGAATCGCTGCGAAGAAGATCCACTCGGATCAAACGGCTGCGAAATGACAGAGGGCCGAACACAGGTGTGGAAGCACACGACAAAACAGCAACAGTTGCATGTTCTCTCGAGTAGGTCTTTACTGCTTGTTTTCCACAATCACCAAGGAAGTCAACAAAAACAGTTGCGATGATCAACGTACTAACAAACGAGTAGAAATTGTCATCGTGGGCATTCTTAGGAAGTGATCAGAAACAACGGACATGGACAGTCTTCTATATCTGCAATTAAATTCGGCTTCTGGTTCAAGTGAAGGAAGGAGTGATGAATATCCACTCTACTTTCCTTTGAGATCACTGAGTCAAATTTTACATTCTTGCATCTACTTCGCTTTGTAGGGGAAAGGCCAGCTTTTTAAATTCACAATTATAAGAGGCTCAACTTTTTCTGAGTTGTTTGTAAATGATAAAAACGCGGCCGCTCCATCCACTAAGCTCTTTGAGCAAGATTTATGACCAATGTAAAAGACGTGGTCGTAACAAGCAACAAAAAAAGGCTACTTTGATTGTTTTGTCTGTCTGAGCATCAAAAGTGGCCGGAAAAAAATCTAGAGCAGGCTACACAGCTCTCAAAAAAGCGTTGCCGCGATCGTGATTGATTTCTTATAATTGAAAGTGGTATTTTACTTTCAGCCTTTGTTTCAGAGTATATTCGCTATGTGCAGTATGCTGAACGGCGTAAGGAGTTGCTTTGAACTGAATCAGCGAGCTTGAACTGATGAAGTTGCAGTATTGTGCGAAGCGACGAATCTCATAGAAAAATTTCGGAGCAAAACATCAGCATCAACAGGCTGCTAGAGCTGTGAAAGCTCTTCACTCGCGTATTGTGAGGAAATTTCATTTTGCGCAGTATTCTTAGCTTTAGTTTAGGAAAACAGAAGCAATGCTTAGCTGTAGCTTCATTTCTCTTTCGCTCTCACAGCGGAAGTGCATTACATCTATAGGAAGGGGTGCAGAAAATAAAGTGAAACAATGCTATGTATCAGATTGCACTTGCGGGCGAAAATCCGCCCGACAAAATCAGAGGAAAAGGGAAAAAAAGTATGAAGGAAGACGAGAAGGTGCACAGCGAGCCGAAACTATCAGCGTCGTCTGCAGCGATGCCAATGAGCATTTTTTGCCAGCGGTACTGGTGTTGGAGGACAAGTGTTAGGTGCAAGCAAAGCGGTGGCACACGACGTGTGGCAACTCAAGGAATAAACAATACGAAAGGTTTCATTTGGAGCCGAGAGCCGAGGGCCGTGGAGCAGTTGGAAGCGCTCATTCAACGGCTATAAACTGTGTACGCGCTTGTCGCCCAGGTA